AACATAATTATTATATCTAAAAATAATTGGTTGTTGACCTATGAACCAGGTCACAGTTCTGTACCCAATCAGGGCATGTGCACAGGTTGTGGGCTTAATCCCCAGTAGGGGGCATACAGGAGACAGCCAATCAATCATTCTCTCATTGATGTTTCTATCTCTCCCTCTCCCTTGATCTCTGAAACCAATCAAAAATATTATTTTAAAAATTGGGACCAATTTCTTTGAAATTCAGTATCTAGTCAATGTTTCAGTCTCTCTAAATGTCTCATGTTTTTTTCTTTTAGTTTTGTTTTGTGTTTTTGTTTTGTTTCTTATTTGAGTCAGGATCCACATAATGTCTTGACAGTTTTTTATAATTTGTCACATGAAGATGTTTCCGATTCATCTTATACATTTCTGGTCCAAATCTGGAATCATCCATTTCTCTGAGAAGTCATAACTCCTTTTATAGTGGAAAATGGCAAATAGAATCTAAGCACTAGGAGTATACTTTGATACTGGGTTGATCACTGCTGTTATTTTTATAATTTTTTGATCTATTGTAAAGAATAAAACCTTTATTTGTTGTTCTTCCCTTTTTGGGGGGTCACTTTAAGTTGCCCCTACAGCTTACTCTTGTGGGTGTCAGTTGGTTTGTTTGTACTTTTTTCTGTTTTTCACTTTGCATAGTTTCTTTTGCTATGCGTTCAAGTTCACTAATCTTATTCTGCAGTGCTTTATCTGCTATTTATCCTATCCAGCATGTTTTCATCTCAGAGGTTCTATTTGGGTCTCTTTTTTTATATCTTCTATGTCTACGCTTTTCAGTATATAGAATGCAGTTATAATGTTTAATGTTCTTGTCTGTTAATCCTGATTTTGGTTACAGTTCTGGGTCAGTTAGCTGCCTGGTAATCTTTGAGACATTGTGATTTTTTTTTTACCATCTTGGCTGCTGATTTTTTTTTTTTTTTAAGAGCCTCTTTCTTTTTCTTTCTTTTTTTTGAATATATTTTTATTTCAGAGAGTAAGGGAGAGGGAAAGATAGAAACATCAGTGATGATAGAGAACCATTGATTGGCTGCCTCCTGCATGCCCCATATTGGGGATCGAGCCCACAACCTGGGCATGTTCCCTTGGCTGGAATTGAACCCATGACCCTTCAGTCTGCAAGCCAACACACTATCCATTGAGCCAAACTGGCTAGGTCTGCTGAATATTTTTTATTCCTATATATCTTGAGCTTGTTCTGGGAAGCAGTTGTTTTACTTGGAAATAGTTTGATCCTTTTCAGATTTTACTTTTATGACTTGTTAGATAGATCCAGAGCAGTGTTCAGTCTTGGGCTATGAGATATAATACTGTATTAGTTTTGGATATACAACATAATGTTAATATGCAGAATAGTATCATAACTAGAAGTTTGTACCTTTTGGCCACCTTCACTTATTTCCTCACCTGTGGCAACAATCAATCTGTTCTTATCTATAAATTTGGGGAGTTTTTGTTTTTTAGATACCACATATGATTGATATCTAGTATTTGTCTTTCTCTGTCTGACACTTTTCACTTAGCATAATGCCCTCAAGGCCTATTCATGTTGTCACAAATGGTAGGATTTTCTTCTGTTTTATGGCTGAATATTCCATTGTGTGTATGTACTACCTCTTCTTTATCCACTCATCCAGTTCACCCCTCAATGGACACTTAGGTTGTTTCTGTGTCTTGGCTGTTGTAAATAATGCTGCAATGACATGGGCTTCCAGATATCTCTTTGTCATGGTGTTTTTGTTTCCTTCAGATAAATACTCAGAAATGGAATTTCTAGATCATATGGTAATTGTATTTTTAACTTTTTGAAGAAATTCCATGTTGTTTTCCATAGTGGCTGCATCAACAGTGCACAAGAGTTCTCTGCTTCACATCCTCACCAACACTTATCTCTTGTCTATTTCATAATAGCCATTCTAAGGGGTGTGTGGTAATGTCTCATTGTGGTTTGGATTTGCATTTCCCTTATTATTGTACCTGTTAGCCATCATTTTGTCATCTTTGAAAAATTTTCTATTCAAACCCTCTGCTCATTTTTTAATTGGATAGGGGTTTTCTATTGAGTTATATAACTTGTTTATATATTTTGTTGAGAGAGAGAGAAACATCCATTTGTGTTTCCACTTATTAATGCATTCATTGTTTGATTCTTATATGTGCCCTGACCAGGGATTGAACCTGCAACCTTGGCATACCGGGACGATGTTTAAACCAACTGAGCTACCCAGCCAGGACAACTTATTTATTTATTTTAGATACTGTCCTCTTAATCTGATATTGGTTTGCAAATATTTTCTCCCATGCCATAGATTGCTTTTGCATTTAATTGATGGTTTCCTTTGCTGTGCAGATTTTTGTTAGGTGTAGTCCCACGTGTTTATTTTTACTTTTGTTGCCTTTGCTTTTCTTGTCAAATCCAAAAAAAATCTTCACTGAGACCAATGTCACAGAGCTATCCCCTATATTTTCTTCTAGGAGTTTTATGGTTTCAGGTCTTACGGTTAAGACTTTAATTCATTTTGAGTTGATTTTGAGTTCAGTGGTCTTTTGCATGTGGCTGTCCAGTTTTCTCAACACCATGTATTGAAGAGATTGTTTTTTCCCCATTGTATAATCTTGACTATTCTGTCGTAAATTAATTGACCATATACGTGAGGTTTCATTTCTGGACCACAAGTACGACTGAATTTTTCTAGTCTTTTTAATGAGAGCACACACTGTTGGTACCCCAGGGAATGCTGGGCACTGTTTCCTCTAATCCTTCCAGGTGATTTCTTTTCTGTCTGCCTCTGGTAGTTTCCTCATATACCTATTCTGATTAATACACTGCTAAATACTTGTAGGGGCTCCCTCTACAATCTCCAGGCTTCTCTTTTTCTGCAGCTCTCTACTCTCTGGTATCTTGAGCTGCCTTAGTCTCTCAAGACTCAGTTCCATATGTTTACCTTAAGGCAGTGGTTCTCAACCTTCCTAATGCTGCGACCCTTTAATACAGTTCCTCATGTTGTGGTGACCCCCAACCATAAAATTATTTTCGTTGCTACTTCATAACTGTAATTTTGCTACTGTTATGAATCATAATGTAAATATCTGATATGCAGGATGTATTTTCATTGTTACAAATTGAAGCATAATTAAAGCATAGTGATTAACACAAAAACAATATGTAATTATATATGTGTTTTCCAATGGTCTTAGGCGACCCCTGTGAAAGGGTCGTTCAATCCCCAAAGGGGTCGCGACCCACAGGTTGAGAACCGCTGCCTTAAGGGGTCTGCCTGGAAAATCTCGAGGCAGTAAGATGGAAGAACCGTAGGCTTCAGCTCATTTACTTACCTTCTCTCAGAGATCACTGACTTCATTGCCTGATGTCCAGGGTCTTAAAATCTGTTATTTTATGTATTTTGTCTGCTTTTGTTGCCATTTCAAGCAAGAGGGTAAATCCAGTTCTGTTACTTCACCTTGCCTGAAACAGATTTCCTAGTTGTATGTTTAATTCCAACCAGTTTTCCAAAGTGGTAGTACTATTTTACATTTCTACTAACTTAATATGAGAGTTTTAATTGCTCCACATTCTCACTTACATTTGGTTATGTTAGTCTTTTTATTTTAGTCCATTCTAGTGAGTTTGAATGTTATCTTACTGTACTTTTGATTTCTATTTCTCTGAGGTAGTCATGTCCCTTTAATCTTTAATTTAGAATACTTCCCACGGCATTAACTTTTTTACTAATTTTTCCAAAGAATGTTTTGTCTCTTAATTTGGATTGGTCTAATTGTTTCCTCATAGTTAAATTGAGGTTAAATCATTTTTGTCAGGCACACTAGATGGATGATGTTTTGTTCTTCTCAGGGGGCACATGATGTGAATTTGTGCTTCATCATTGGCAGTGATAGTTTGCTCAGTAGGTTATGGCAGTGTTTTCCAGATTTCTCTGGTTAAAAGTACCTTTTTCCTTTTATAATTAATAAGCAATCTTTGGGGTGATATTGTTTCAGTTTTCCCAATAGTTTTTCATTCGGTAGTTTAGTTTTAGTATGCATTGATTTTTACCTGAACCAGTTATTATAGTCATTGTAAAATTGTGGCTTTCTATTTCTGTCATACTTTGTATATTTATTACTTGACTTTTTCTCTAAAAGGAGGTATTTCCTGTCTCCTGATACATACTTGTTGTAGTATCCATTTGGACTCATTCTATTTTTAATTTATAAGTTAATTCATAACTTTACTCGTTAAAATGTTCTGAACTTGGATTAATGACATCTTCAAACTGATTTGTTTATTCTTGACATTTTTCCTGCTGGCATAGCAAAATGGTCCAGGTTCACCCTGGATTTGGCCATTTCTTCAAGGAACCAGGGTTTTCTTTAGTGGAAAATTTAAAACGAAGTTTGGGCACTAGGTCATTATTACATATCTGTGTTTTTGATTTTCCAATTTATGTAGAAATTTCTAGAGATAGAAGATAACAACATCTTGCTACTAAAATCCCTGCAGCTCTGCATACAACCAGGCTGGCAGTATTTCTGCTGTGTGTCAATGATGGGGATGCTCACACGCAGAGAAAACATGGTGGCACTGGAACTGAGACTAGTTTTGTAAACTACAGAGCATAAAGCACGTCAGTTTCCTATATTATTTAAAATGTTGACATTTGCATTTTGGGGGTTAAGTCTTGGTACTTTATCTTCTAGTTAAAGCAATATTTCTTTCTTTTCTTTTTCTTTTTCTTTTTTTTTTTTTTGTATAGTCTTATTGATAAATGAACCTACCAGAATTTTCCATTTCTTGGGTGTTTTCAGTAACTAAAGCATTAATTAACCTTTGGAATTTCAGAATATTGACAGTTAGATTTTTTTTAGTCAAGCTCTATTACCTTTTATACTGAAAGAATAATACAGTAACATTTTCATTGGGTTGGAATGCATTTTGCCTCCCTTTTTCCTCCTTAATAAACTTCTAGATATCTGCATGGTGTTTGAAGTTTTGGGGCATCATCTGCTGAAGTGGATCATCAAGTCCAATTATCAAGGGCTTCCACTGCCTTGTGTCAAAAAAATCATTCAGCAAGTATGTATCTTAGTATCTTCTATGTGGTGATTTTTATTTTTTTATATTCTTGAAGTGTCAGGAGTTTCCTGTTTCCAATAGAAGTTTTATTTTAAAAAGTAGGCTTTTTAAATTGTTTTACTCAGTCCATAGGATTCACTATATTTATTCTGTTGTTAAACATTTTATCTAAACCATTTCCCCCCAGTTCATTTTCTATAGCCCTGGCCAGTTTGGCTCAGTGGATAGAGTGTCAGCCCACAGACTGAAGGGTCCTGGGTTCCAGTCCAATCAAGGGCATGTACCTTGGTTGCAGGCTCAATCCCCAGACCTGGTTGGGGTGCCTGCAGGAGACAACTAATCGATGTTTTTCTCTCCCTGTCTCTCCCATCAAATTCTGTTCTCTAAAATCAACAGAAAAATATCTTTGGGGCCATAACCGGTTTGGCTCAGTGGGTAGAGCGTCGGCCTGCGGACTGAAAGGTCCCAGGTTCGATTCCGGTCAAGGGCATGTACCTTGGTTGCGGGCACATCCCCAGTAGGGGGTGTGCAGGAGGCAGCTGATCGATGTTTCTCTCTCATCGATGTTTCTAACTCTCCATCCCTCTCCCATCCTCTCTGTAAAAAAATCAATAAAATATATTTTTTTAAAAAAGAAACATATCTTTGGGTGAGGATTAACAATAACAACAAAAAACAATTTCTATAATAATTACTAGAGGGGAAGCTGTGTGCAGTTCCTGATTTTTGAAAATTTGGAACCCTTATTTAGAAGTTCTGGTTACAAATACTAATTCTGTGGTACTAAAGAATTGCTATGTCGCCCTAGCCAGTTTGGCTCAGTGGACAGTGTTGGCCCACAGACTGAAGGGTCTCAGGTTCAATTCCAGTCAAGGGCACATACCTCAGTTTGATCTCCGGCCCTGCCTGGTCCAGACATGTGCAGGAGGCAACCAATTGATGTTTCTCTCCACATCGATGTTTCTCTCTCTCTCTGTCTCTCCCTCCCTTCCACTCTTTCTAAAAATCAATGGAAAAATATCCTTAGGTGAGTATTACCAGAAAAGGAATTGCCAGGTCAAATCATTACAATCTCTTTTTATAACATTGTTCATGGGCACTTTCTTTTTCTTTTTTTAAAAATGTTTTTATTGATTTTTTGGAGGGTTTGTGGTTGTTGTTGTTTTTTTTGAGAGAGAGAGAGAGAGAGAGAGAGAGAGAGAAACATCCATGTGAGAAACATGTATCAGCTGCCTCCTGCACGCCCCCTACTGGGAATTGACCCGGCAACCTGGGCATGTGCTCTGACAGGGAATCAAACTGGTAACCTTTTGGTGCATGGGATGACACTCACCCGACTGAGCCACACTGACCAGGTCTGTGGGCATTTTCTAGTATTATTAATACCTTTCAGTGTTCAGTAAAGAATACTGTCAGGAAAGTATTAATACATCAAAGGGCAAATAATTTGTTTCGACATTGTGTTTTGGTGGAAAGAGCTCCACACTGGGAAGCAAAAGTTCTTCATCAAAAGGAAATTTGAATTACAAGATACCTAAATCTCTTTCACCACGTACTAGTACATTTCAGTATTTAAAGGGCATCTGTACCATTTTTTTCCTCAATCTTTATAATGTACTTAAAAATATCTCCAAGTAGAATTCACTTTGTAAAACTTGGAAGAACTTTTTATTATAAATAAGTTAAGCTCTTGCCTTCATTCATAATTCACAGTTAATCTTTGTGCTTTAAAAAAATACCTTATTCTCTGTGGAAAGCTGCCACATCATTTGTATAGTTTTTTTTTTAAATATATTTTTATTGATTTTTTACAGAGAGGAAGGGAGAGGGATAGAGAGTTAGAAACATCCATGAGAGAGAAACATGGATCAGCTGCCTCCTGCACACTCCCTACTGGGGATGTGCCCACAACCAAGGTACATGCCCTTGACCAGAATCGAACCTGGGACTCTGCAGTCCACAGGCCAATGCTCTAGCTACTGAGCAAAACTGGTCAGGGCCATTTGTATAGTTTTATTTTTTTTTAAGTTATTGTGATTTCTTCCTTTTCCAGAAAGACTTGTCTTTTGTGTTTGCAAGTCTCCTGCTCTGTTCCCACACAGGTGTTACAGGGTCTGGATTACTTACACAGCAAGTGCCGGATCATCCACACTGACATTAAACCAGAAAACATCTTGTTGTCGGTGAATGAACAGTACATCCGGAGGCTGGCTGCAGAAGCCACAGAATGGCAGCGGTCTGGAGCTCCTCCACCTTCTGGATCTGCAGGTATATTTGTTTTGGGGACTTTGCTTTCATTAGCAATTAAGTCAAGTTTCTATTTTTATTCTATTACTAGACAGTTAAGTAAATCACATCTTCTACACTAATAAAAGAGAAACATGGTAATTGGTGCACGACCGCTACCCTTTTCATTGGCTAATCAGCGAGATATGCAAATTAACTGTCAGCCAAGATGGCGGCCGGCAGCCAGGCAGCTTGAAACTAACATGAGGCTTGGTTGCCTCAGTGACGGAGGATCGTTGGAGGAAACCAACGTTCCCCGCCTGCGGCTGCAGGCCTCTGAGCGAGCAGTTTAAGAAACGTTGTAACAAATACCACCGGACTTCAGCCAGCAGATTCACAACATTGTATGCAAAGGCCAGAAACCTACTTTCAGCCGGAGGCCTAAGAGCTGGAGCCAAGCCTCAAGGTAAAGCTGGCCCAGAATAAAAAAAGAAAAAGAAAAAAAGGAGGGGTTGGGAGCTTCAGTCACCCCCAGCCTGAAAACAGCCCTCAGCCCCTCACCCAGGCTGGCCAGGCATCCCAGTGGGGACCCCCACCCTGATCCCAGGACACCCTTCAGGGCAAACCAGCCAGCCCCACCCATGCACCAGGCCTCTACCCTATATAGTAAAAGGGTAATATGCCTCCCGGCACCGGGATCAGCGTGACAGGGGGCAGCGCCCAAACCCCCTGATTGCCCTGCGGCTCTGTGTGTGACAGGGGGCGGGGCCCCAACCCCCTGAGCAGCCCTACTCTGTGCCTGATAGGGGGGAGCTCCCTAACCCCCCCCCCCCCCCCCGCCCACACGGGCCCTGCTCTGTGTGTGATGGGGTAGAGCCATAACCTCCCCATCGGCCCTGCCCTGAGTGTGACAGTGGCGGCGCCCCAACCCCCTGATTGGCCCTGCTCTGTGGGTGACGGGGGCAGCGCCCCAACCCCCTGATTGCCCCTGCCCTGTGTGTGACAGGGGGCAGCGCCCCAACCCCTGGATTGGCCCTGCTCTGTGCATGGCAGGGGGTGGCGCTGCAACCTCCCCATCGACCCTGCCTTGAGTGTGACAGGGGACGGTGCCCCAACCCCCCAATTGGTCCTACCCTGAGCATGACTGAGGGTGGCATCACAACCTCCCAATCTGCCCTGCTCTGTGCATGAGGGGGTGGCGCCCCAACTCCCCAATCGGCCCTGCTCTGAGCCTGACCAGGGGCTGCACCTAGGGATTGGGCCTGCCCTCTGCCACCCGGGAGCAGGCCTAAGCCAGCAGGTCGTTATCTCCCGAGGGGTCCCAGACTGTGAGAGGGCACAGGCCGGGCTGAGGGACCCCCTCCTCCCCCCGAGTGCACAAATTTTTGTGCACTGGGCCTCTAGTTAAACTATAACAGTGGTTCTCAATCTTCCTAATGCCGCAACCCTTTAATACAGTTCTTTATGTGGTGACCCCCAATTTCATTGTTACAAATTGAACATAAAGCATAGTGATTAATCACAAAAACAATATGTAATTATATATGTGTTTTCTGATGGTCTTAGGCGACCCGTGAAAGGGTCATTCAACCCCCAAAGGGGTCTCAACCCACAGGTTGAGAATCGCTGATCTATAATAATAAAAGTGTAATATGCAAATCAACCGATTGGCTGAACAACAACGTCTGGACGACCACGCTATGACAGGCACTGATGCCAGGCCAGCCAAGGCGGGTGCAATTGGTCTGGGGAGGGGGGTGGGTGGCCATCACCCTGCAGAGGGAGGCCCAGACTACCCCACCTGTGGCGCTGAGGCAGGTGGGTGGGGCCTCCCTCTGTGGGGCGATCCATTGAGGGGCTCCAGGAGTGCGAGAGGGCGCAGGCTGGGCTGAGGAAGACACACATACACATATCCAGTGCACGAATTTCATGTATCAAGCCTCTAGTTTAACAAGAAGGTACAATAAGTGCTTATGTGTACAAAATAGTCCCAGTTTTCCAAAGATTTTTTTCACTCTCTGTATTGCTTCCATAATTGGAAGGAAAACACTAGAGCTTGTGTCTTTTAGGTATATATATGTTGTACAGTTGACCCTTGAACAACTGGGGACTTAAGCACATAGACCCCTATACATTAAAAATATTTGCTTTGTTAAGTCATAGCCAAATCTTTTCTAAAAGAAAAGCTTTATTGAGCCACATGCTAGCCAGAAATAGGCCTGGGTCCTGGAGCATGCTATCTAAACCATCAGCAGCAGAACTACATGGAGAAGACAACAATGTCTACCCTTCTGGGATTGGTGGATCTTTTAGACAAACAGTTTAGGGGGAAGAAAGATGTAAGTTGTTTCGAAAGAATTTAGTTATAGGTAAAGGGCTAGTTATGAGATAGGTTCAAAGGAAGAAATGTTTATTCTTTAAGATAGGTTGTGTGCAACACTCTGGAAATATCGTGCATAAGCCGGATGCAGTGACACTTGGTGGTCAGCTATTAGGCTATTTTTTCTGAGATAGTCACCTGGAGATTAATTGAAAGTGTCAGCATACCTTCAGGAATATTTGTTGGTTTTGGCCTGCATGCGTTAAGAGATTAGCCTCTCATCTCTTCCTTTCACTCTCCAGCCTGCTATAATTTAATTTAGGACACCTCAAAAAAATTTTTTCTTGCCCAGCTGGTGTGGCTCAATGGTTGAGCATCGACCTATGAACCAGGAGGTCACTGGTTCGATTCCCAGTCAGGGCTCAAGCCTGGGTTGCAGGCTCGACCCCCAGTAGGAGGCATGCAGGAGGCAGCCAATTCATGATTCTCTCTCATCATGGATGTTTCTACCTCTCTCTCCCTCTTCTTTCCTCTCTGAAATCAATAAAAATATATTTAAAATATTTTTTTTCTTGTCAGCTTAACACTTTTGACTCCCCCAAAAAGTAACTACTAATAGCCTACTGTTGACCAGAAGCCTTACCAATAACATATAGTTGATTAATACATATTTTGTATGTTATATTTCATATACTATATTCTTATGGAAAAGTAAGCTAGAGAAAAGAAAATGTTATTGAGAAAATCATTAGGAAGAGAAAAAAATCCTCAATTAAGTGGAGTCACACAGCTAAAACCTGTGGCAACTGTATATGTAAAAGCTGGTTCATGTAAAATATTTTCTCTTGTGATTTGATGGCTATTTTTGATGTGTTTACCTCTTACCATGCTCATTTATGGATCAGTGATCTGTGCAGGATCACGGTAATACCTATTAAAACCTTAAGTTTGCCCTAACTGGTTTGGCTCAGTGGATTGAGCGTCAGCCTGCGGACTGAAGGGTCCCCAGGTTCGATTCCGGTCAAGGGCATGTACCTTGGTTGCGGGCACATCCCCAGTAGGGGGTGTGCAGGAGGCAGCTGATCCATGTTTTTCTCTCATTGATATTTCTAACTCTCTATCTCTCTCCCTTCCTCTCTGTAAAAAATCAATAAAATATATATTTAAAAAAAAAAAAACACCTTAAGTTTAAGCACTGGTACGAACAGATTTTGAATCCTGGCTTCATCATCAGCTGGGTTTCCTTGAGTGAGTCATTTGACTTCGTTATTTTCTCATGCAGGAGTTATTGGGATTAAATTTCATGTTAAAGCAGTTGGCATTGTGCCATATAACATCATGTACTAAATAAATATTGGCTACTGTGATTACAATAATTATTTCCATTTGAAGTTCAGATTTTAATTTTAATAGTTTAATTATATTTGAGGACCTTTTTTAAAAAAAGATTTTTCATTGAGTTTTTAGAGAAAGAAGAAGGGATAGAGAGAGGGAGGAACATCAATGCAAGAGTGAAACATTGATCAGCTTCCTTCTGCGCGCCCCCTACTGTGGATCAAGCCCTCAACCTGGGCATGTGAACTGAACCAGCAACCTTTCCTTGCACAGGATGATGCCCTGCCAACTGAGTCACACTGGCCAGGGCTGAGGAACTTCCTTGATCTTCAAATTGAAAGTATCAGTTATTAGGCTTCCTTTGATAGGAAGTATCATAGGCTTCCTTTAAAAAGGAAAACTCAAGAAGAGGGAAATGGATAGTTTTTGATGAGCATAGCATTTCTTTTTTTTTTTTCCAAAATGAAATGGTTATAGAAATTTTACCCAACAGTATGAATACAGTTAATACTACTGATTAAGAGGGAAATTTTATGTGGTTTTGCCACAATTTTTAAAAATTTTAAAGGGATGCCCTAACCAGTTTGGCTCAGTGGATAGAGTGTCGGCCTGTGGACTGAAGGGTCCCAGGTTCGATTCCGGGCAAGGGAATGTACCTTGGTTGTGGGCACATCCCCAGTAGGGGGCGTGCAGGAGGCAGCTGATCGATGTTTCTCTCTCATCTGTGTTTCTAACTCTCTTTCCCCCTCCCTTCCTCTCTGTAAAAAATCAATGAAATATATTTAAAAAAAGTTTTAAAGGGAGACCGAAGATTCTTCCTCTCACCTAAGCTAAACTAATATTCATGATATGCTGTGTAGCAAATTACTATGGCTCTTGATGACACTCTTCATTTAAAACTGACAAGTGATAGGGGAAGAATTAGATGCGAATCCTGGGTAGGGATGAGGGGGTTGTTTTCTGTCATACTCTATTTTAAGCAGTATGTGTGAATGGGATTTTAGCAGCATTAATTGTGGAAACCAGAAATGGCATATTGGCTCTGCATTTATGCTGTCTGAAGAATTTAATTTATTTAAACTTATTTTAAGTTAGTCAACTTTTGTATGCATTATTTCTTTTAAAAAATGTTCCTATCAAAGTTGCTTAAGTAATTTTCTCTACAGTATAAACTGTACAAGAGAGATTTTTCATTCTGGTATGGTGTCTTATGTGAGCATTAGTTTATTTTTGCTGAATGCCAGGATTCTTACTTGGTTTTCTTTTCTTTTCAGTCAGTACTGCACCCCAGCCTAAACCAGTAAGTATAACGTGTTTCTGTATTTAATTCTGATCTATGGGGCAGGGATTCTCCTGTTATGGACAATGACATTTTGTTTAGAATTTGAAAACAAAGGAAAAAATATTCCTGCGCTTCTATAATTTTCTCCAAGAAATTCCATGCATCTTTGGCAAGTTGGTACTGGTGAGGTATCTATAAATTGGAGTGTGTCTGAGAGTACACCAGCCCCATAGGCTGCTCAGAGGACCAAGATTTGTTGTTAATTTTGTTTTTATTTGGTTTGATAAGAGTATACACTTTTTTGAAGTTAATGAAAAATGTCAGGGAAAGAGTGACATTTGATTAGGAAGTAATTAAAGTTAACAGTTATCTCCAACTAGGGGTAATGGATTAGCCACCTGAAGGCTTTATCTGTTTGTAATCTCCGCCCAGGCTGACAAAATGTCAAAGAATAAGAAGAAGAAATTGAAGAAGAAGCAGAAGCGCCAGGCAGAATTACTAGAGAAGCGAATGCAGGAAATTGAGGAAATGGAGAAAGAGTCGGGCCCTGGGCAAAAAAGACCAAACAAGCAAGAAGAATCAGAGAGTCCTGTTGAAAGACCCTTGAAAGAGAACCCACCTAATAAAATGACCCAAGAAAAACTTGGTATAAATAGAGCATCACAAAAATAACTTTATTGCAAAGTTTAACATTATCATTGTTATATGTAATGGTTTCATGCATACAGCACATCTTTGGGGGTGTCCTTATATAGTAAGAATACAGAATTTGTCATAAATGTTAGGCAGGTGATGTTCAAATGTAATTTCTAACTTTTCTCAGGAAATGCAACATAGACATCATTTAGCAGTTGGGTAAGGATAAGAAGATCTTTGTCCTTCTATACATAGGTTTTAGTTCAATTGTGTTTTTACATAACTGTGTAAGTTCTAGAAAATATTTTGATCTTGTGGAGAAATTTTTCTGTTCTTTCACTCCTACGCATACACATGCATCCTTTTTGTCTCTTTGTTCCTCAGAAGAGTCAAGTACCGTTGACCAGGATCTAACACTTGTGGAACGTGGTGTAGAGGGTGGTACAGCAGAAATTAATTGCAATGGAGTAATTGAAATCGTTAATTATACCGAGGACAATGAGGACAGTAATAAAGAAACACTGAGGCTTACAGATGACCTACATAATGCTAATGACTCTGATCAAAATTTGAAGCAGGAAACTAGTTTCCTAAGCTCCCCAAATGGAGACAGCAGCACATCTCAAGAAACAGACTCTAGTACACCTGTAACCTCTGAGGTGTCAGATACTGTGGTGCGTCAGTCTTTATCAAATGTAGACCAGTCACTCAGTGAACAGGACATCAGTCAGCTTCAAGAAAGTATTCGGGCAGAGATACCTTGTGAAGATGAACAAGACCAAGAACATAATGGACCACTGGACAGCAAAGGTACCTATGCAGACATATTTCCCCAATACTTCCCCGCATACATAGTCATCAATTTCATGGGTTTTGTTAATAAAGCTTTACAGCAGGTGTCCAAGTGACGTTAAATGTATAAGTCTGTATGTAACTGAATTTTATTGTCCTGTAATGGGTGCACAGCCAAGAAGGTAAAGGTTTTAAATCTGGAAACTCAAGGTGTTGCTATCTTCCCTTTGTCTTAGAAAGGTTATTGTAAGTTGCCAATTGGGGGCCTGGTGTATTACCTCAGAGTTTTATTAACTTTGGGTAGTTCTGTTCATTGAACAGTCTTATTGATAATGCCTGTTGTCTATAGGGAAATCTACTGCTGGAAATTTTCTTGTTAATCCCCTCGAACCAAAGAATGCGGAGAAGCTCCAAGTGAAGATTGCTGATCTTGGAAATGCCTGTTGGGTGGTAAGTTAAACTAGTCTCAGTGCTTTGTTTTGAAGCAACTAGTGATGAATGAGATTTGAATGTAGTTCTACTAACAGAAGAAAACATCTTCAGTTCTGTACCCAGATTGCCAGTTAACATTTTTAGTGACTGTTTTTTACTTCTTCTAGGAAAGTTCAAATATATTTATTAGAGAGAATAATATAATGAAACAATCCTGCCCAGTTAGGCGTTTATTAACAGATCACCCTGAGGTTATTTTCAGTCACTGGACTTGTCAGGTTTAGTATGGAGTCCCTTTTTATCCACATTATGGGGTTTTCAAATAGCTTGATTTTTAAGGGAGGAGTCTCTCTACTCCCTTTGCCAATTTTTCAATCTCCACACATCAGTACTTATCTTTATTTCACTCATAAATAACTTGACTATATTGCTCCCAATTCTTTTTTTCAATTTTAGGTATTATTTCTTCCTCCTGAAAAATAGGACTAATTTACCACCACTGCACCCATCCCCAGTCTTCCCAATTTAATATGATTTTTGGCTAGGTATTTATTCTGTGTTTCCTTATTAGGACTCTACTGTTACCTTTAGCTGAACTGAACATGCATTGTGTTAGGATTCCTTTTCCTTTTCTGCCTAACACTGTTTCATGCTTAGACAACTCTGTACACTTATCACTTAATTCAACCCCACATTTTCTCCTAGTGGTGTGAATACTTACACTTTAACACAAAAAGATACCTTGGTATTCTTTCTTTTTCCCTAAAAATCTCTATCCTGGAACCTGGAGTCTTCTGTCTGTGTTCATCCTTTGGATTGCCCTATCGGCCTGCTGCATTTCTGCTATTTGGGATCCTTTACTGTTGTCCTGGGGATTATTGTTTACTCTCTTTTTATATCCCTTGTTTCTGTCTCTGATCTTTCTTGGTTTTGTTTTTGTTCCATTTTTTGGAGTACATGTAACTTGAGTAGCTTCCTAAGAAAGGGTGTATGAGATTGAGCAGGCAGAGGGGAGCCTTGTGTGTCTGATATGTTTTTATTCTGCTTTTACAATCAGTTGGCTGGGCATCAAGTTCTAGGTTGAAAATCATTTCCCCTCAGTGTGGTTGTAATTGCTCCATTCTTGTCTTTTAGTTTCCTGTCTTGTTGCTGCTAAAGCTCAATGCCATTCTGATTCCTGGCCCTTTGTATGAAGCCTTTCCCCAGGGAAGTCTGAGGGACATCACTTCGCAGCAGTGTGTGCCTCTCTAGCTCTGTTTTCATCCATTATGCTATGGACTCAATAGTGAAATTCGAATTCCTTGGTTTTATTTTCTTAATTTTTTTTTTTTTTTTTTAATTCTCTTCTTCTCCTTGGTCTCTGTTCTCTAGCTCTGAAGTCGCATTATTCAAATGTTAGACCTCCTATGCAGGTGCTATCATTTCTGATGTTTCTCTCCTATTTTCTATTGTTTTATTTTCTGGAAGATTTTTTTTTTCCCCAATGGGAGGGGGATGGCAGTTTATTGTCCAACACTCTCAGAAGGGGGGTAGCCAGGGGGCTCCGTCTGCATCTCCTCCCTGCATTTGGTTAAATCAACAACTTTTCTTCTCAAATCCCTATGCTGTATAAGATAGACAAGGCCCCCCACCCCTACCCCCAGGAGGGGTTTAAGCCAGGGGTGGGCAAACTTTTTGACTGGAGGGCCACAATGGGTTCTTAAACTGGACCGGAGGGCCGGAACAAAAGCATGGATGGAGTGTTTGTGTGAACTAATATAAATTCAAAGTAAACATCATTACATTAAAGGGTACGGTCTTTTTTTTTCTTGTTTTTTGTTTTGTTTTGTTTTTAGTTTAGTTTTATTCATTTCAAATGGGCTGGATCCGCCCGCGGGCCGTAGTTTGCCCAGGCTGGTTTAGGCAGATGGATGGGCTTGGGGGTAAAGTTCAAGTATTCAGTTCTCCCAAATTACACTGCGCCCAGGCCATGAGAGTAGATCCCAACCTTGGGGTTTCTGGTGATGTTAATAGCCCTTCTCTCAGAAACTTCAAGATGAGCTCCCTACCTCTTTCCCTGACCATCACAAACCACAGTCCTAAACCAATGATGGCGAACCTTTTGAGCTCGGCGTGTCAGCATTTTGAAAAACCCTAGCTTAACTCTGGTGCCATGTCACATATAGAAATGTTTTGATATTTGCAACCATAGTAAAACAAAGACATATTTTTGATATTTATTTTATATATTTAAATACCATTTAACAAAGAAAAATCAACCAAAAAAATGAGTTCGTGTGTCACCTCTGACATGCGTGTCATAGGTTTGCCATCACTGTCCTAAATCCTAGAGTCTTTGCAAGGAGGGGTCCTCAGAACTCCACTCTTCTGAGGCCCCTGGCCCCCTGGCATGGAGTGATGGGGGCAGGCAGCCTTCTCAAGTAGTGACGCCTTGGAGCAAGTGGTGAGGGGAAGGGAAAGGGCTGAGGACCTCAGGAGGCAGGTTGGGAGGGGCCTGGTGGATAAAGCCAGACAGCTTGGTGTGCCTCCTCACCCCACACCCCGGGCCCTAATCCCTGAGAGTCTGCCGGCCAAGGCCATATAGGTGGGGTGGGGGGGGTTAAGTAGGTCCTTGTCCCCCAACCCCGGCCAGCCCTATTGGGGACATGAAGCTTTGGAAGGACTAGGACTGGGCTCCAGGTCAGCTCTCAAGCTCTGACCTTCCAGAACAGCTGAATCCGGGGTACAGGATAGGCCTACTAACCCCCATATCCCATGTCCTGGCCTGTGGCAGAGTGGTGGGGACAGGGGGCGGGGGGAGGGGTGTCCTAAGGCCGTTATAAAAAGCTAAAACCATTAAAAACTTCTTGGGGAAATGTGCCTCCTAGCTTTCTGCTTCCCCAAGTTACCAACCTCCCTAAAGCCCATCAGAGAGCTGAGCCCAGAGAGGGGGTCCATTAGCACCATGCAATGTTGGGGTGCCCCGCGGCCTGACCGACCCCAAGCAGGGGCCCTTTAAAGCTGGAGTGCCACTTGCTAAAGCTTCTGTACCCTTGAGGGGGGGGACCCCTGCAGGGGACGGGTAAGGGAAGAAGGCTTGGCCAAAGTCCAGGCAGGCGTCTCAGCTGGGACCCCAAAGTTCCCTTCCTGGGGTCATGACTTAAAAAATCTTCGTACCACAAACTGGCCCAACAGAACCACGGCCAGAACTATCAGCACATTCTGGAAGGGGCCATTGCCCAGGTCCAGGGCCGCCCCTCTGCGCCATCCACCCGGGCGATGCAGTGATGCAGAATGAAGTCGGCCACGAAGCGGGTCACCTGGCCCAGGAAGCCGGTCAGGCCTCGCTGGTAGGTGTAGAGGGCCAAGCAGTAGCCGAAGCCCAGGAGAGCCACCACCCGGCCCCAGTTGATGCCGCTCTCAAACAGGCTGGAGGCAATCTTGGTGAAGTACTCGTAGGCGTTCTCTGGTGTCAGCTGCAGGTGCTGCAACATGGTGTAGCACTGGTTGATGTTGTCCTTGATGATGGCAAGCTGCCGACCCACCTGCACTAAGGTGCTGGCAGGCTCTGGGGACAAGGTGACCATCTCTGGGTCAGTGGGGGCAGCTGACCCCTCAGCTTCCTGCTGCTGATGGCGATAAAAAACGTAGTTGCGGAAAACCTCCTCTGTGTCCCGGGCTACCTGCTCCTCCAAAGTGGAGGACAGGGCAGGCCCTTCACACGCATGCCTGGGAGGGCCAGGTCCTTGCCCAGACGCCATTTTTCAGGTCCCAGGGGAGAGCATTGTTAGCCCAGATCCCGGCCTAGGCCAGGGATGGCTCAGTGGGGCTGAGGCTGGAGTTCCCAAGGGGGTGCTTCAGGGTTAGCTGCCCAGGCCCAGCTCCAGGAGTGACTGTCAGTGAATTCCTGGTGTCCAGATGCAGTCTCTGCGGGTCCCAGTGCGGCTCTCGGCACCCAAGAGGCTTCGGGGAGCGTGGAGGAGCCGGCAGCTCTTCTGGAAAATTTTTTAACTTGTTCTCAAGAAGCCTTATTTTTACTCTCCAGGTTTTTTGGTTCTCTAACTTTCAGAGGATATTGATCATTTTCCCAGTTTTGATATTTTCTTCCTCTAAGGTGTTACCTCCTTTCTGTTTAGGGTCACTAAACAAAGGACCGTATGACTATATGAATGGAGTTATTAGAAAGCATTTGGAAGCTCTGCCTGGGTGGATCTTGTTGACTGTTATTCACTATAGAATGATCTGTCTGGGTTTCTTTTTTTTTTTTCTAATTACAGTTGATATACAAGATTATATTAGTTTCAGGTGTACAACATAGCAATTGGGCATTTATATAACTTACGAAGTGATCACTCTGGTAAGTCTAGTACCCATCTGGCACCACACATAGTTATTACAATATTATTGACTGTATTCCCTATGCTGAACTTTACATCCTGTGAGTGTTTTCATAACTGACAGTTTGTACATCTGTCAGGCCATTTCATTTCATCCTCGGATGTCATGATCTCTGGATCTTTCCTCTTAAATTGGTCATATTTCCCACAGAAACTTATAGTCTTCCTTAGATTTCCTACCCAGAGAGTAAATGCCTGGCTACTAGCACTCAAGGAGCTGAGTTAAGCAAGAAAACTGGGGCTCACCATGCAATTAGTCAGGGGGGGCAAACTTTTTGACTCGAGGGCCACAATGGGTTCTTAAACTGGACTCAGAAGAAGGAGCTGCGGCCGTGTTTCCCGACGTTGCCATGTTAACACTGCTGCTGGTGAAGGAGCGGAGGGGAGAGCAAGAGAACCCTCCGCTCTTTCGGCTCCGCGGGCCGGATAGAACAGCTGAACGGGCCATAGTTTGCCCACGGCTCAATTAGAGTCACTTAATTTCCTTGTCTTCAGAATGGTACTCTCTTCAACTCTACAGAGCATCTCCGGAGACCCTGTTGTACCCATTCCAGAGAAAACCTCCAAATGGTCTGTGGGCCATAAGGGCTGTTAGACTCTATCAAGCCCTGTGTTCTGGAGCTCTGTTTCTTTAAAAGGTGTTTTAAAGGATCATTCCTGTATTGAATCACCCCTTCATCCATATTTCCAGAGATACAGTGGGGCCTTGACTTACAAGTGTCCTGACTAACAAGTTTTTCGAGATACGAGCCGTCTCTCGGCTGATTTTTTGCTGAGTTGCGAGCTAAAATTCGGGTTACGAGCCAGCTTCAGATACCCCACCGCTAGTTGGCGCAGCGAACGTCACAGTGAATGCCACATCAGCCCGGCATCACATGTCTCACTCGTTCACTGTTTGATTTGACATACGAGTAATTTGAGTTACGAGCTCCGTCACGGAACGAATTAAACTCGTAAGTCAAGGCCCCACTGTACTTGATACCACCAATCCCTGAGCCTTAGGGGAGGTGTACTGTAGTATGCATCACATTGTTTCTCAGCTTTCACCAGTGGCTTATTATTCAGCTTTTTTGGATCCATTAAGACATTCACCAAAGATCTCTCTGTTTTCCAACTTTTAATTTTCATTGCTTTGATTTCTTTGCCACTATCCTTGTCAGTTTATACTTTAAAAATTAACACTGCGTTCTCTATTAAAGTGAAGTTTCAGGAGTGAGTGGAAGTGTGTGTATGTATCCAATCCACCTTCTTTATTTTTGCTAATACTTGACCTCATTTATCAGTTACAGAATCTGTGTAAGGCATTAGTGAGGCACATGAATAAAGACAACTCCTTTGATCAACATGTTCATTTTTCCAAATGTGTCACCTGCAGTTCATTTCCACTTCAAACTCAATATTGGAATCCCTTGTTTTCTCATAAAGCCATTTTCCTCTCTCAGTCTCTTCATAAACATTCTTTTAAATTCGTTTATTTGAAATAAGATCCAAATAAACCCATGAATGCAAAATTGGGTACTAAATCTCTTAAGTTACCTTTACTATAGAGGTGTTTCCTCCTCCCCCCCCCCCCATACATTTTATGTGTTAAAGAAACTCCACTTGTTTTGCTGGTTGTATCCTCATGTACTTAACATGATCTGTTTCCCCAAGATTCCTGTTTGATTTTTTTGGTGGGGTGATGGGGAGAGGAGGATGAGGGTGAGAATTCTTTTCTTTAATTGAGGTAACATTGGTTTTTAACATTATATTAGCATTTCTTATCAGCTTTTGTTTTGTCTTGGAAAGCATTTCTCCTTCAAATCTAAGGATAACTTTACTCCATAAATTATTCTTGGCTGGCAGTTTGTTGTTGTTTTCATCCTTACCCTAAAGTATGTTTTGTTTTTAATTGATTTGAGAGAAAGAGACAGAAACACCAATGAGAGAGAGAAACATCAATCAGTTGCTCCAGGCAGGAATGGAACCTGCCACCTTTTTGGTGTACGGGGACAACACTACAACCAACTTGAGCCTCCTGGCCAGGGCTTGGCTGGCAGTTTTAATCTTTCAGTATTTTCGATATGTCCTTCCACTCCTAGCCTGATGAGGGTTCCTGTCTGGGTTATTTTCTTCTTTTTCCCTGGCTGCCTTTACAATTCTTTAGCATTGACTTTTGACAGTTTAATATAATGTGTTTTAGAGAATGTCTCTTTGTATTGAGATAATTAGGTGTTCTTTGACCTCCCTGTATGTCCAACTCATCCAGGTTTGGAAACTTCTTATCTATTATTTCTTTAATAGCCTCTCTGTCCCCTTCTCCATCACTTCTCCTTTTTGGGATACTTGTTCTTATTTTGCCCTTTCTGATGGAGTGGGATAGTTCTCCTAGAGTTGCATGTCTTTTTAAAATCTTAGTTCTCTCTGCTCTTCCCCCTGAATCATCTGTAGATTCCTATATTTGAGCCTGCTAATTCTCATTTCCAGCCAGTCTACTCTAATTCCAGTGCTTTCTAATGTATTCTTTATCTTATTTGTTGAGTTTTTCAGCTCCAGATTTTTTGTTTGGTTCTTTTTTAGAGTTTCAGTATCTTTTGTTCAGCACTCCTTTTGTTCAGTAATTTTATTATTGAACTCATTGGACTGCCTTTCTGAGTTTTCTTGTATCTCGTTGAATTTTGTTTTATGACAGCTATTTTGAATTCTGTGTCATTTAGATCAGTCTTCCATGACACTGAGTTTGGTTGCTGGCAAATGTCATTTTATTTTTATACTACTGTGTTACTGTGATTATCCATGGTGTTTGATTCCTCTGCTGGCGCATTTGAAGTAATGAACACTTTTCTTGCTTAGGTACAGCTTTGTTTAATTTTAACAATTCAACAAGTTGGTACTTAGAGGCCTCTTTTGTTTTCCAAGAGGTGGCACTATAGCACAAGTTTTTGGTTTCTCTTACCTGAGTGGACTCTGGGTATATGACAGCTAGCATTTTCTTTCTTTCTTTTTAAATCTTTATTGTTGAAAGTATTCTATATGCCCCCTTTTCCCTCCTATTGACCCCTTCTAGCCAGCCCAAGAGTTAGTATTTTCTACCCTCCACAGCTGCTGTCAGAGATATCACAGGCTGTCTTGGTAGCAGCTTGTGCCTCCAGGGTCACTGGTGCCTTCCAGTGTTGCTGCAGCCACAGTTTTAGCTGGAGTCACCAGGATGATGTGTGCCCCACTGTGTCCAGAGTTGTCTGCGTCTCGGGTGCCACCACCATGGCAGGGGAGCCAGGGTCACAGGCACTGCTGCAGCCAGGGGAGGGAGCCAGAGTTGCTGCTGCCTTTTTCCTTTTCTGGGGTTTGTGGGTGTAGTCATGAGCCCCTTCTCCACTGATGCTGCCATGCCCACTGGAGTGTGGACTCAGCTGCCACTGAAGGACGGGGTATCAGGCATCCTCACTGCTGGTCCTCTGATTCTACCTTTCCTTGCATTCCAATTCACCTACCTCAGATGACAGATGTGTGGATCTCTCACGCATCTATCAGTGTGCTGATCAGCATTCCAGTCATTGTAGATTGAAGGGGGCAGACCAAGATTATGTCTCACTCTGCCATGATGCTGATGTCACTCTCAGGAATTCTTCATAGGTGCTGTTTTTTAAGGTTCTTAAAACTTGAAACCTACATCTTAAAAATAAATTGTTTTTCTCTAACCTGTGTATATAAAGTTTAAATTCATATGTTTGCAAAATAATTCAGAGTAGACTGTAAAGCAAAGTGCTGTTTGGAGGTAATAGCATCAAAATGATACTTAACAGATTAGCTAAATAAAAACTGGTTTAGGAAAAATTTAGAGAATTTATTTTAATCTCCGTTATTAAGCAATCATGACTTGTTACTTTTTAGACTAAATTAATTTTAAAATACTGTTTCCTTCTGTATTTACTCAGCATAAACATTTCACTGAAGATATTCAAACAAGACAGTATCGCTCCTTGGAAGTTCTGATAGGATCTGGCTATAGTACCCCTGCCGACATTTGGAGCACGGCATGCATGGTAATGTTTTTTCCCTTTTTCCTTCACTTGTTATTTGGTAATAACATGCCTTGCCCTGTTTGCTCATTTCAGTAGACCAGCAAATTAAGAAAGTGAAAAAGTACTTTTTGTGTGACTTATCACTAGTACTCTAAATCCTGTGTCTGGAGAGGTCTGAATTCAAAAGCTGGATGTAAACATCTAGCTTTCCATTTGGTTCCTACCGAATTCCTGTTAGGTGAAGGAACCAAATGTTTCTTACGAAAGTTGGGGGTGGGTCCAGGTGGATTGTAAACAACTACTCTGAGGTAGTGTCGCTTTTGTTAGGGTGTTACAAGTACCCTTCCCCTTTGGCTCTGATCTTATTTTCAGAATAAGGAAACCCCTGGAAACTGTTTCAGTCTGTAAAGTTGAAGTTACTCAGACATCTTTGCACTTCATAAAATGTGAAGCTCAGTCACTCATAAGTTGCTGCTGTGTCCCAGGCAAGCAACTATTCAAATGGTTAGATTTAGTTGCTACTAAATGATTTCCCGCAAATAGCCTCATGTTGGAATGTGTTATATTGTTTCCTGAAATGGAGTATACTCTTTACTTGTAATTGTGTGTTTATTTGCTTGTTTCTCTTCCACTAGGTTATAAGAGCCAGCAGGAGTCATGTGTGTTATGTATAGCAAGTGTCTGGTTAAGACCCTGGCACATTTTGCCTGTGTGTTTACAATGGAGTTCTGATGCTAAATACCTAGAGTTGTCACAGATTTCACAAGTTAAGGGCATAGTTCGCCTCAAGGCTGCCTCTGAGGCCCACAGGCCACCTGTACTTCTGGCCAACTGGCCACACATTGGGAGATTCCACTATCATTTCAGATTTGATAGTTCACTAGAATGACTCACAGAACTCAGGCTCATCATGAGTCACCTCATTAGTATAAATTTAAGTATGGCCCAGTGTTCCATTGTGAATAACAAAAAAACACCCTGATCGCTTGGAAATTTAGATGCTATCTCCCAGGAAACAGGAACAAAGACCAAACAAATTATTTATTATGCAACAGTACTTAAGAAATATTTGTGGACCATCAGATGTGTTTAACTAAGCAAGAAATACATTAAATTCATTTTAATTAACATTTAGTATTCACAATCAACTCTGGAAAACTTGAAAGAGAAAGGACAAGGCATAAATCTCCACCTGTTTTAGTCATAGATTTTTGACATCTACATTCCTGAAAAGCTGTCTTTCAAAGGTAACAGAGTTAAAAACCATGTTGTTAATATGGCATAACTTTATAAATCATTTGTTAGGACATATCATTGACTTTTGAAGTGGAGGACTCTGAAATAAAGTAAGGTTTGGTATTTTACACACAAGATTTTACACATAAAATCTGACTTCTTTCTTGCCATACCTTAAAGCAGGGGTGGGGAATGTCTGGCCTGCGGGCCGTATAAAGCCTGTGAAATCATTTGGTCTGGTCCTGCCAAGCAAGGCATTGGGGGTGAGTTAATTAAATGTTTGACCAAATATAACAGGCTAACTTTTTTTAAACATGTATTTATTGATTTTTAGAGAGAAAAGAAAGGAGAAGGATAGAGAGAGAGGAACATCGATGAGAGAGAAACATCATTGAGCAGCTGCCTCCTGCATGCCCCCACTGGGGATCGAGCCCACAACCCATGCATGTGCCCTGACTGGGAATCGAACCAGTGACCTCTTGGTTCATGGGTCAATGCTCAATGAGCAGCAGGCTAATTTTTAAGCTGATAATTTAGTATGGCCCACAAATGATGTCATAAATATCCAGATGACCCTTGGGATAAAAAAAGTTCCCCACCCCTGCCTTTAAGCTTTAAATTTATTGTTAGAGAAAATAAGTGAGCAACATCACCAACTACAAAATATAGCTAGATGGTATCTGTTTATTATGATAATAAATAATATTATTTATGAAGTGGTTCTTAGTAGTAGGCTGATTATTTGAGGGTAGTGGATCCTGCTTGCCATTTAACATAGTATTTACTATGTCAGGCTTAAGAAGTGAGGGAATTAACCTTGCCTCCTATTTGGACCAGCTCATGTGCAGGAATTTTCTTGATGAGGGGGGGAAGCACTTATTTGACATGAGATAGTCTTATGAGAACTTATGCCCCAAGCTTCTCTCATTTTGCTGATAGGTTTAGAAGTGTTGCCTAAAGTTTGGCCATAATCAGAGAATAAAAATAAATCCTAGATTATCAGAGATGCCCCAAGAGATGGTTCTTGCATCCAGTGTAATTAATTGATAGAAAGATCGGGGCCCTTTCTGAGAGATAAAGAGACAAGTTATGAGAACGCCTATACCACTAGTGATTGAGATGACCAAGTTTAGATGGGCAGTAACATAAATGTTATGTTAATGTTCTGTGACGAACATTAAGAATCAATAAAGAATAGATGTTTTTAATTCTCCAGTCTGTGGATCTTAACAACCTTATAATGACATGTATCAACCATTATAGCATCAGGTAGAATAGTTTCACTGCCCTAAAAATCCTCTGTGCTCTGCCTATTCATCCTTCTTCCCCTCCCTCCCTCCCTTCCCTCAACCCTTGGCCACTGAGCTTTCTATTGTCTCTATAGTTTTGCCTTTTCCAGAGTGTCAGCTTGAAATCCTACAGTATGTAGCCTTTTAGGTTGGTTTCTTTCACTTTCTAATATTCCTTTTATAACTGATTTTGCCTGTGTCTGTGACCCTGAGTGATGCTGAACAGCCTCTGGTTAGTGTGGGACAGGCATGAGTGGGAGTTGGGAGCCCCGGATTGGGGGATGAGCTTTGCCTTTCCGTTGGGGCACAGTTTTTTCATCTGCAAAGGAAATGTGTTTAACTAGGTGTTTTATTATCTAGAGCTCCTGCTAGCTTTCAGTTCTAATGTAATCGTTTGGTTAGGTTTTTTGCTGTTTTAATAAAATTATAACTACTAACAACTACCTTATGTTTAGAAAATAAAACTCTTAGAGAACTTTAACTAGATGTAAATATCTAGATGAAAAAAATTAGAAAATTTAAGTTTTAGAATTTTTAATATATTTTTGTAAGCTTTAATTTCAGTATCTTTACTGTCCTCCCACTATGAGACATTGAAGAATTAAAGTACTGGTTTCAGAAGATAGACAAATTTTGGTGAATAAGAATCACAGTTGGTTTCTGTTCTGCATTGGGACTATAAACCTCAGGGCAATTAGAGGGTAGCACCAGTAGCTGCTCTATCAGTGTGGTTCAGTTTCATAGTGAGCTGCTGGAATGTAAAACAAGCTATACCTGGCAAGAAGCCATAGCATCCCTAAACCAGTGATGGCGAACCTATGACACACGTGTCAGAGGTGACACGCGAACTCATTTTTTTGGTTGATTTTTCTTTGTTAAATGGCATTTAAATATATAAGATAAATATCAAAAATATAAGTCTTTGTTTTACTATGGTTGCAAATATCAAAAATTTCTATATGTGACACGGCACCAGAGTTAAGTTAGGGTTTTTCAAAATGCTGACATGCCGAGCTCAAAAGGTTCACCATCACTGTCCTAAACCTTCTGATTTTGTGGCCTTTCTCTGGGTGGTAATACAGCCCACAGATACTGTTTTAAGAAAGTCTGTCTTATCCTGAAACTGCAAAATCTGACACGAGCAAACCACTGAGACCTAAACATGAGTCTCAATTGAGAATGTGCCCCAACTAAATCCACCCCACAGTCTTTGAGATTGTCTGAACTACTTAATGCCATTGAGTCAATCAAAGTTGTCCCACGATTAGCACTTAACTTTTTTTACTTCACTTTTATTATTATTTTTAATATATATTTTTAGTGATTTCAGAGAGGAAGGGAGAGAGAGAGAAAAACATCAATGACAAGAGTATCATTCATTGGCTGCCTCCTGCACACTCCACACTGGGGATCAAGCCCACAACCTGGGCATGTGCCCTGACTGGAATCGCATGACCTCCTGCTTCATAGGTCAACGCTCAGCCACTGAGCCAGGCCAGCTGGGCTGACTTCACTTTTATATCAATAATGTTCTTTTAAAACTGTTCTATTGTTTTTTAATCCATTTTAATCAATGAAAATTTAACATAGCCCCATCACTCAGATGCTGTCTTTTCATACTGCTTGGCATTTATTCCATAGGAAATCACTTTCTTTCAGATACTCTTTAAAACCATTTATAAGAGGCTGTCTGTGGTAGGAGACTGCCTTTCTTTTCCTGGTTAGTGACACAGATTCTGAGTTGCTCCTGATTCCATTTACACATAATCTTTTTCTGATTTTCCATAGGACTGAGAATTGGGAACACTGTCTGGGATAGGTTAGGGAGTGCTTTCCAACGCAGAACTTTAAAATGTACTTTTTGCCAAGCACTAAAGAGTTATAGGTAGAAAAATGTCTGAATTTTTTGGTTTCAGTTTTGGATACAGAATCTCAATTTCTAGCCATGTAAAATTATAATGTAAGACTTGCTCTTCTCACGAAAATTTAATAATAAAAAATCACTTTACTGTCCAGGTGTGCCCCCTCTGAGCAAAAAGAGAAATTTGAGAGCTTAATTACTGATTTGGCGGGAGGTGGGGAGGGCATGGAGTAATCTACATGTTGATATTAACTGAGTTTTCACTATTTTCCTGCTCCATTTTATTAAGATATGGGTGTAGGAGGAAAGCTCTTGAGGAATAATCTCTTAGATATTTTTTAAATGATTATCTGCAGGTTACTTAATATTGAGCCAAATAAAAATAAGCTTCCCAAAGGTCTTTTTTTTATTAGTGTTTTCATACGCTGTCCTCTTTTTCTTAGGCCTTTGAACTGGCCACTGGTGACTATTTGTTTGAACCTCATTCAGGGGAAGAGTATACTCGAGATGAAGGTGAGTCCCCTTAACTGTGATTGTTTGTGGGTGGTAGTTACACTTTCCACATGTGGCTCACATCATTTATTAGTACTGAAGAGCCTTAGTCTTTTTAGTGTGCTAAAAATATATAAATTTCAGAAAATACAGAAATATGTTTTATGTTAGGTATTAGATATACTAGATATTTTATAATAAATATTAAATAACTCTAGATGAGGATTAAAGGAGGCCACAATTGGGTAAACTAAAATTTGTGTTCTTCTAAAATATCTAGTTATCTTTCTTTCTATATAAACCAGTGGTGATTCATTCTTTACTCAGTTTGAATCTACCTGTTGATCAACTTGTTGCTCAGTTATACCTGCAACTTTGTCTGAAAGTTAATAATTTTAATATACAAACATGCTGTGAATGAATGCAGAAAGAGAGAAGCATCTATGTGAAAGAAAAACACTGATCGGTTGCCTCCCACGACCTAGGTGTGTGTCCTGACCGGGAATTGAACCTGCAACCTTCTGGTGCATTGGACAACAGTCCAACCAACTGAGCCTCCCGACCAGGGCCAGAGACTTTATTTTATTTGTCTATATAAATTCTGTACCACTTAGCATTTTTTCCCCTTTATGAAAATTAAAAGCCGTTGTTTTCTAATGATACTAATATTTATAATTCCATTTTCCAAAAGAAAAACAAAATTGATTTACATTTTGTGATAGCCAGCGGGAAGAGCCCAAACTGTCAGTTGCTTCATCTGGGAGACTGTAAAAGCAAAGAACTGAGTGTATGATTTTTTTTTCCTATTGACTCCCAATAACTAGAAGAGATGATAATGTGAATGAAAAAGTCTTAAATATTTTATCTTCTTTATTATACAGTTTGTGCAGCTTTGGTTTTAAGGATTAATGGGATTGCTTTGAGAGAGCAGTAGCAATATGCCCTCTCAGTGTGGAAAATAAGTTCTTTACTTTCTGTGCTTCCCTCGAGTCTTTAGGAAGTCGGGTTTCACGCTCTCTCTGTAGAAACAAGAATGCTCTTTCTCAAACTGGCTCTCTGGGATATTATGGGCAATGTTAGTAGGGCTTGCTGATAATCATAACAAGTGCTGTTTGGAAAATTTATAGCCAAATGCTTATTTTAGTGGGTACAGTTTGGATATGTTTTCTATACATAAGCTCTGTGAGAAAATGCTGTAATTACCACCATTATATACACTTGATTTTTCCCTGTTCTCTGCTTGCTTTTTTTCTGAGTTATGCATATAAATCTATATGCTGTAGATTTACATTGTTTTTCAAATGCCCTACTATTATCTATTTGGAAGGGGAATTAATTTTTTTCTCTTTACTTCTGTAGACTCCCTATAAATAGTGTGTGGTACAGTGCACATATTGTGGCTAGAATTATATAGAGTAGGACCTTATGCTACCAAACCTGAAAATTGAAATGTATAAGAAAAGTCTCAAGGCCGAAACCGGTTTGGCTCAGTGGATAGAGCATCGGCCTGTGGACTGAAGGGCCCCAGGTTCGATTCCGGTCAAGGGCATGTACCTTGGTTGCGGGCACATCCCCAGGAGGGGGTGTGCAGGAGGCAGCTGATCGATGTTTCTCTCTCATCGATGTTTCTAACTCTCTATCTCTCTCCCTTCCTCTCTGTAAAAAATCAATAAAATATATTTAAAAAAAAGAAGTCTCAAGTAAGGGTCAAGGGAGAACAGTCTACCCTAGATATTTAGATCCTGACTTTTCCTTCCTATGCCAGTTAGTATTAACAGTCTTTAGATGAAACCTCAAACTACTACAATAAGTTTATAATAAGATAAACTATATATAGTCTCACAAACTAGCCTCACAATTGATATATACAAAGACATTTATTCGCAGGTCCTGCCTAAGATTGGTAGAAATTTCTTGGCAGCCAAGTACTTGTTACCAAGCCATAAATTCAGTTAAAATTGCCCAAAGGTTATAGTGAATTCATGAATGTAAAGCCCCTTTAAAAAGGCACCAGTGAGTCCTTTACATGAGAAACAGAGATGACCTGAAAACTTCACAGGTTCCCAGCTATGTGACTACCTAGCATATTGTTCCCCTAGAAGATACATTATTGGAAGTTTTCTAAGTGATTCTTTTTGACATCGATGATTCTGTAACTGCAGGATTAAGTTCATTTATAAAGCTGTTGTATCCAGGAGCCTTCACTTTAAAGCCTCTCGATAGTTTCTGTCCCCTGCCTGTAAGTGTGGATGGGGGGTGGTCCCAAGCTCACTTCCTGATGACAGACTGCACGCGTCCCTGTCAGTGTCCATAGTCCACATTCATGCTGTGACACTCACCGGGCACCACATGACTTGGACATTTGATGGCCTACAAATAGTCAGGGAGCTGTGCTTTAAAATGTTGGTGCTCAGTTTTACTTAACACACACACACACACACACAACCCCGTACTAGACTACAATGTGGGTTTTCATTCACATACTAGCTCTTATTAGCCCTACAGCTTCAAGTGGTCCATTTATTCTCTGTGAGGTTTCATTTCTTGTCTTTAAAATGGTATGTAAGTCTTTGGCCTGTTGTGCAGGGTATTGTGAAAACTTAATCATATTAGTGCTTTAATCATCACGAACATTCGTATAAATTTCTATGATGTCTAAAAGCATATTGGTACATTGTTTTACCTTTCCTAAAAACCCTGTCTGAACTTTAATATAGAGACAAAATAGAAATAAAGGTGTAGATAAGCCGCTAAACTCCAGAAAGGGCATGCCAACTACTATCAGGTGACCAACCACCTGAAATAATTCTTGACTTTCCCAGTCTTCTCTTGAGTAGCCTTGGTTTTATTTGTAGTGACTTTTAAACAGCTAGTCCTTGAAAAGCTATTCTTGGAAAAACCTCTTTTACAGCCTGTCCTTGATCCTGTTCTTCTTACCCTTCTATTTTAGACCACATTGCGCACATTATAGAGCTGATAGGCAGAATTCCAAGACGCTTTGCCCTCAGTGGGAAATATTCACAGGACTTCTTCAATCGCAGAGGTAGTATTGTTAACATGAGTTTTCATCTAGGCCCCAGGATACACCTTCAGGAAGCAGAGCATTCACACCAAGATTATTTTAACTTACCGCTCAAGTCCCCCTGGAGTGGGCACCTGATTTTTATGGTTTTCTGGATTCTCCATTAGATGGATGGAGTCCTCCTCTTCCCATTTAGGACAGGATGCAAGCCTGAGATGCTTTACGAAGAGGTGTGCATGCTACTCTTTCTGCCAATGTCTAGAACTGTATTTGTTACTCCTGTTATGTATGTCTTTTTTTTCCCCTTCTTGAAATGTTTGAAACATACAGATCACATTGCATTGATCATAGAACTTCTGGGGAAGGTGCCTCGCAAGCTCATTGTGGCAGGAAAATATTCCAAGGAGTTTTTCACCAAAAAAGGTAAAATAAGTGTGTTTATTCCCCAACATTCAGGGGCCAAAAGTGCTTTAAAATTAAGAGGTAAGTACAGCTGGGTGCATGTTCCCAGCACCTACAAAAGGATGGTCCTACTTTGAATGTGAGCTGTTACTTGGCAGAAATGAAATTAGTCACTCACGAGCAGAAACTGGAGCCAGACCATGTGGGTTCAAATCCCAGCTGTTCCACTAGTTATGTGGCCATTGACACAGCCTCAGTTTTCTGATATCTAAGTGTTTACATTAGTTTAAGTTATTCTGTGTATAATACCTGGCACATGGTTGGTTACTCCTATACAGCACTTCTAGAAATGAGCAAATTTTTGCTAGCCTTTGGCCTAACAACTGCCTCTATCAAAAGGCAAGCAAGTATTTTAGCTTAAGCTTAAGGGCAGGACTACATCTCACCCATCTTGTAGCCCTTTGACACCTATCACAGTCACTTCAACCCATCAATCATGTGAATTAACTTTATTCCTTTGTAGTCTCATAAGTTCGTTATCACTTCTTAGTGAAGGAACAGATAAAACTCTCACTTTAAATTTTTGACTTGACAATGTATATTGGCATATTTAAATATGTATTTCTTCTGCATTTCAAATAAAGTTTAAAAGCTAAAATGTAAAAACCTGACTTAGAAGGGACTTGCCTTTTTCTCCCTTTTTGCCATGGTTCCTTTTCCTCACAGCCTCTACACTAGTGCTGAGAACAATCACTTTCCCAACACTGACAGCAAGCACACTCAGAAACGCTCCTTAATGTTCCTCTTTGGGGCAGGAAAATGGTGAAGTGCTTCCCTAAGAGTTCCTCCTTGTGTGCAAAGTCAGGGTAATACGAGCCTCTGCCAAGCAAGTGATTAAATTGGCGCTCACTGCCCACATGAGAGGCTTCCGATGAGTGTCGCACGAGAAAACACATTAAAGCAGCATTTACCTTAAGCCCTGGCAAATTGACTTATCTTAAATTGAGGTTCCAGAATAGTACCAAGGGTGGCACAGCATCTCTGAAAGCTGTATGGGGTTCATTCAGCTCCTTATTTTTTATTTATTTTGTTGTTTTCTTAACTCCTTATTTTTAAAGACTGCCCATTTTTTAAGTAACATTTACTCGACTGTCAAGCCAAGAAAAGAGAGTACATGCAAAGTGTTTTTGGTATATGGTTGTAAACTGCCTTTGAACACCATATTGAATACATCTGGATTATACAGGCATTTAATCCTCATTTCAGTAAATAGGTCCTGATATCCCTACCCAGTTTGACCAGGGCTAAAATTCTGGAACGGTGGAACAAACAAGTTCCCTTACATTTTTAGGCCCTCATGAAAAAATGGAGATACTTCTTTCCAGGGACTAGAGTAGAGAAGGGGAGGTGCTTTATAGATGGAGAGTTAGATTCTGATGGTAAAATTTGATTCTCTATAGATTACCTGGATTTGCTACTGGGTTTCCACAATGGAATCTTGTCATTTGTCAGTGTTGGTCAGTTTCTTTTGTACTGCTTTTTACCATAGGTGACCTGAAACACATCACGAAGCTGAAACCCTGGGGTCTTTTTGAGGTTCTAGTGGAGAAATATGAGTGGTCTCAGGAAGAGGCAGCTGGCTTCACGGATTTCTTACTGCCCATGTTGGAGCTGATCCCCGAGAAGAGAGCCACTGCCGCTGACTGTCTCCGGCACCCTTGGCTCAACTCCTAAGCCCCAGCCCAGCTCCGCAGCAGAGACCACACGCCGCCCCTCCGCTTCCCTCCAAGCATTTCCCTCTCCCTTTTCAGGTGAAGCTCTTTCTTCAAGGGTTTCTAGGTTTTGGGCGGCTTTTTATATTTTTCCAACATGTTCATTTGGGTCTGCTTACTTGACCCTGTGGAGATTCCCCCACAGCCATTGGGCATCCTAGGTGAATTTGGCCTTGATTGGGCTTTGCCAAAGACTAACGGACTAAAATGTGGAACAGCCTCTCGCCCTGTGCCCTTGTCTTTCCATTAGGACATCCTTTAAATAATAAGCAGCCTTTTTAAAAAGAGCTATGAATATGTAGGAGCTCATCCTTTTATTCACTGACTCTAAGAGTCAAATTTTCTAATGCATATCCTCTTGCCAGCATAAGGATGAGAAGGGGGGAAGGGTGACTCTCTGTACAGCAGAGACATTAAACTTGCTGTATCCAGGCTGCACCATCTTCCTGGATTGTTTCTGTTGTTCTCTATGTTCACATTTTTTCCTGCGACTTTTAAGCTACTGTCTATTTTTAAATGCGCTGTATAAACACCAAATTTGGGTACCATTATATCACTGTTCAAAATAATGTCATGTTCTCTTAATAATTCTAAGAGTCTTGCAACTTCAGTCTGATTTTTGACGGAAACAAAAACAGAACCATTAACTAGTTATTTCTTCAGAACCACAGGTGTCCTGCAAACTGTCCTTTCCTACATGTCTTCTGTTGTCCTAAAAGCAGTTATTTTGATAGGCTGTTTGAGGGGTCTTGGGGGGTTTTTTGAATCCCTGGCTGGCATTTGACTCACTTCACTTGAGTTTATTTCCCATGGCTAAAGAATTCAGGCTGACTCTAGAAAGGAGATCTGGGCTTCAGAGATTTCCCATCTAACAAGAAAATGTCCTAGAGTTCTTAATCCTTTTCCAAATGGTCCCCAAATGTTATTTACAGCATTTTCTTTGCCTTGTCCAAAATTCAGCTTTGGAGCAGTTTCCCTCTGTGGCTTTGCCTTTCTCATTTTCTCAGAGGCTGCAGGTCTTAAATGAATTTCTTAAATGAAATCCCAGGAAAAAAGAACCGGGGCAGGGGGAGGGAGGGAGAGTTGGCACTTGTTTCATTATTTTGAGGGTTTGGGTCTTTTGTGTGTGTGTGTGTGGTTGGTTTAGGATTAACCATTCTCTGCTGCTATTTCCTTGTATAATGTAAGTTTTTAACTGCAATTTTGAGATGATTGGATGTATTTGAGGTGTTTTCTTTTTCAAATGAGAAAAGGCTTTATGAATTTTATTTTAGGGTGGGTCTCTCTCAGACTTGCCCTAGACTGCATATTTCTCAGTTCATATTGAAAAGTAAAAGGGGCATGATAGAGGCCACAGCCGCTTGTTGAACATGGACCAAGAGGGCCTCGGGATCGCACTCCGGAAGCGCTCCAGGACTGATTCACAGAAGCCAAGGAGGTGCAGCGTGAGGCTCTGCTAGCAAAGCTCCCAAGGAGACGGGTAGCCAGCTTTCTGTACGGGAATTGGAATATAGATTCTGTCATTCATTCACCAACAGTGGGAAAGGAAAAAGTGGTGCAATTATGCAATCCAGTTTACACATTACCCTGAATAACTATGGCAAGCCGTTCATTGGATCCTTGATTGGGTAGTCCTGAAATCATACATGTTCCTGTAGAAACCATCTTTTTTTAATTTTTTAAAATATATTTTTATTGATTTCAGAGAGGAAGGGAGAGGGAGAGATAGAAATATCAATGATGAGAGAGAATCACTATTTGGCCACCTTTTGCATGCCTCCTACTAGGGACCGAGCCTGCAACCTGGGCGTGTGCCCTGGCCGGGAATCAAGTCTTGATCTCCTTGTTCATAGGTCGACACTCAACCACTGAGCCACACTGGCCCGGCCCTATAGAAAGAATTTTAAGTGAGGCTGCCTATGCATCTATCAAGAATAAAGAGAATAGATTGTACCAAACAACGGCAGGGAAAATCCTTCAGCAATTCTAATCCACTTTGGATTTTCTGCGATATATATACATCTAAAGCAATAGCAGACTAGAACTGAATTCTACACTGTCAAATCACAACTGTGGGATTACAGGAATTCTGGTTATGATATTAAGATGAAATAACAAAAACACAAATAGCCCCATTTTAACAGTTGACATGAAAAGAACTTTTAGTAGAACCTGTAACTTCATTTTGGAACTCTTTCTCGTGACATAAGGGCTTCCCCCATTATTTAAGGAGCCAGATGAATTAGAAGCCGTAGAAAGAGGCAGCTGTAGAATTTGATCTTCCAAGTACCCTGTGTACCTTATTGAATTTAATTATAATACGTCAAATTGCCACGGTCTCACAAAAGGATTTCTATTTGCTGTCAGTTAAAAATAAAACCCTGAGTCCATTTTTACTCTTTCTACTGGATGCATTCTGTTTTCTTTGTAAATGCAATACAATAAACGGTTTAATAACCCACATGTTTCCAGAAAACGTGTTCGTTTACTGCCCAGGTTGGTCTGACCCACGCTTCAGAGTGGAGGAAGGGATCAGCTCTGTGCTTTTTGAACTTAAATATACAACAAAACTACAGCCTGAACACATGCTATTCAGTGAGGTTTGTAGCTTTGCTTCTGTCTTTAAGTTGGGATTGGGGTGGACTAGCAGTACATTTTGGAAAGTCTAAGAAAATTGTTATTCCTGCATCTGACAGCATTTGTCCCAGAATATTCGTGGTGTGTTTTTTCCTCAGGTTGCAATCACCGTGTGCAGAATGCTAAAGGTTTGTGGACTGGCTAAAGCACTGGCATAGTGAACACGCATACACAGGTTTTGTGTACTTGTCTGATTCACTCCTGTGATAAATTCTTAGAAATGGAATGGCTGGGCCAGAGAGTAAGCACATTTTTAAGGTTTTAATAAATATCACCTAACTCCTATGGAGAACAGTTGGGCTGTTCTGCTCTGACCAAGTGTGTTTGAATGAGCCTGTTAGAATCGCACTCGTTTTGTTCCTAGTAGCCAGCTTGCCCAAAAAAGGGCATGTCTGAAGTCAGAAACTTCTTTCATGGGTCTTATTGGCCATTTGTAATTTTAGGTTATTTGCCCACGTTACCCAGCTTTCTTTTGGCATGCTTCCTTTCTGGTGACTTAATAAGGACTTAGAAATGCATTGTTTTACTTTTTCCATCACATTCTTTTCTAGGTTTTAATTTGCTTTTCATTTTTATTTGGGATATTTTTAATGTTATTCATAGTAAGTCCTTTCCTATCCCTGAATTACATAAACTGCTCTAGTTAATTTGTTTTGTGCCATATTTAAGACATACATCGTGTATTCATATTATAGTGTTAATGATAATGGAACTTGTTTTAAAAACAACCTAAAAATATTAAATCAGGATTCATCAAACCATTATGTTCAGCAGACCACTCTGGGCATTCACTCTAAACCTTGTGTTAAATACATAGACCTAGAACTCAGGAGTGTGGAAAACGTAAGTACTGCCTAGGAGAGCTTATAGCCAACTCTCAAAGGAACCAGCAAACGGGTGGAGTACAACCCCACTTTAACTTTCCATCTGCCCCAAGTGTCTAGAGGGAAGTCATTTATAGTTGCTGCAGAAAGGGCCAGGTTATAAATCGACTTCCTTACTGCCTGTTCTTTTATTTTTGAAGCCTGTGGAGTCTTCCAGTTTGGCCTTCTAAGGAATGTGAGTTGCTCTTAGTCTTCTGTGTCACAGAAAATTGTGATTTATTGGCAATAGAATCTGAACTTTGCCCACCAATTTCGTGCCTTTGGAGTTAACAAGGCATTGGTAACAGCTCTTTCTGTCTTCAGAACTATATGAAGATAAAAATATAAACATTTATATAAAGCAATATATGGGCCTTGAGGAATTGATGTGTTAATCCTCACCTGAGGATATTTTTTCCATTGATTTTTAGAGAAAGTGGGAAGGAAAGGAAGGGGAGAGAAACATTGATTGGTTGCCTCCTGCACGCATTCCCGGACTAGAGATCGAACCTGCAACCCTGCAGTGGGGGGGCTGATGCTCTAAGCATTAAGAAAACTGCCAAAGGCAGAATTTGTTCTATCACTAAGGTCTTGTTTTTAAAAGTTGGGTTAAAAACTAAGTGTGTGATATGCATTTGTCTTTAAGCCTTTGCACAGATACTAGTCCACACCAAGTCCTTGTGAAATCAGATATCCCAGTCGGAAAGCCAGGAAATTTGAGACCATGTTGTTTTAACTAAGTAATTAAGCAAGTTTACATTAGCGCCTAGTTTTGTTACCCATCGCACCATTCCTTATAAAGGGAGGAGGCTTTTAATATGTAATAAATTTGATTTTATATTCTCCCAAGTTCACTTTTTATCATAATCTCTCTTGTCAATGCAGACCTGGCTTTTTTCATTTTAACACAACAATCCTTGTCCTCCAATTGGCAGAACGAGGCTGTATTTCAGAAGGTGCATCAGCTGTCGACAGTTGGAGCTATGTTCTTAGAAGTTGTGCACCTAAAATACTGCATTGGTAGCTATGGTTTTACCAAATATAGAGGAATGCTGGGGATTAGTGGACTCTATTCTAAGTCCTCTTGAGGTTAGATAACAAAAGTGGGGGAGGGGGGCTTTCAGGATCAGGGCCCTTGCATCTTGAGCAACCTCATCAGCAGCATATGAGGTTACTAGAATCTAATCTTGGTTCCAGTAAAGCATTCTGGTAAACGCCTATCCCAGCAGGAAATTAAAGTACTTAATTATGACACCAAAAAGTAAATTGGGTAACTGAAAACCAATTTTAAAGGACCCCAATGACTCCTCCTTCCTGTTATTCACACACTTATAATCCCCTTGCCTTGAATGTGGGCTGGACTTTGTGACTAACAGATTAAGGCAAACACAACAATGTCATTTCTGAGATTGGATTACAAAAGGGCTGTGACTTCTCTGCAACTTGCTCATCTCAGAACCCTTGCTCTGAGGTGCCATGTGAATACGGCTGTGAACCCCTCAGTGCAACAGCCTCTGAGAAACAGCCCTGCAGGCAACCAGAGCTCGGAATCCCTTCCAGCACCTTCATTGCCGCACTAAGGAGACTTGGCTGAGACTTTCCGATCCCAACCCACAGGAACTGAAATGGTTGGTTGGTTGGTTGGTTTTTTAGAGAAACGTCTATGAGCTGCCTCCTGCACACACCGCACCTGGGACCAAGCCTACAACGGGCATGCGCCCTGACCAAGAATCGAACTGGCAACCTCTTGGTGTACAGGACAATACCCAGCCAACTGAGCCACACCAGCCAGGGTGAAACATATTTTAAAGGCACTGAGTTCTGGGTAGTTTTTTTATGCAGCAAAGGTAATATACAGGGATGTAAAATAATGAAAACATTTGGGGTATCTTTCCAGTCCACACTTCAGGTATAAATGACCTGTGCTTCCTCTCTTGGCCATATCTGTTAGTCGTTGGTGAGGCTTGGGCATCACAACTGTCCCTAGCCCCAGCCAAAGACAGGCAAGACAGGAGTGAGTGAGCAAGGAATAAAGCAACTTGGTTAGAGGAGTCTAGTTTTATTGACTTTCTATATACTTTCAAAGATGAGATTGGAGGTGCCTTTTAAAAATGTATTAAAGGTAAAACCACTTTAGAGTTACTATCAACAAAAATTATTACTAACATTGGAGAGGCTGAGTTCTGAGTTTCCCTGAAGGTAGAGCTGAAGGGGAGCGCCGGGTGGTGACTCATTTGCAGTTTCTTCCCAGCACTGAAGCTCGCTGTGCCCGGCAGTGCGGGGGCCAGCTGTTGAAGGTGCACCTTCAGCCTCCAGAAGCTTCTGTTGATAGTTGCCATTTCAATGAGAAATATTTTGAAGGTGGAGAGGCTTTTAGAAATGTCTGTGTTTTGTATAAAATAAATGAACAGCGCTGGCCAGTGTGGCGCGGTTGGAGCATTGTCCTGTGCACCAAAAGGTCATGGGTTCGATTCCCGGTAGGGGTGTGGGATGCAGTCAATCGATGTTTCCCTCTCTAAAATCAAAAACTTTTAAACTTTTAAAGGAATAAATGAACAAATATAGATAGAAAACTCACCTACAGAACTTACGGAAATTCTGTCATTCATCAAGCTTGCATAAAGTAGGTGCCTGGCTCTGAAATTTTTTTTTCAGCACTAGAAAATATGAATATGATCTTCCTTAAATCCCATTCTAAAAGTTCCCATCAGCCCAGTCGGCGTGGCTCAGTAGTTGAGCGTCGACCAATGAACCACAGTTTCAATTCCCAGTCAGGGCACATGCCCAGGCTCGATCCCCAGTGTGGGACTTGGCAGGAGACAGTCGATCAGTGATTCTCATCATTGGTGTTCCTCTCCCTCTCCCTTCCTCTCTGAAATCAATAAAAATATTTTTTAATAATAAAATTTTTCATCAGCAACAATAGGGACAGTACTGGGAGGCTCTCACCCCTCATCAGTCCGCACTGGAGAAAGGTCGCTGCCCTGACTGGGCAGGTGGTCGGAGTGCATTGGTGCAAATGTCATGCGCTACAGCCCAGGAAAACGACGCCTGACTGCTGCTGGACCAGCTAGGACGAGGTCCCCAACAGCCTGTTCAGCATTTACCGCGCCTGTGGGGGAACCCGCCCACGCAGGAAACACCTCTTCCTGGGCATCATACCGCGGATAATCAACAAGACCCTGTTTCTCCGCGTCATCCCCCAGGCAGGAAACAGCCTAAAGAGCCTATCGTGTTGGCACTGCTCCAGTGACTGCCACCCAGACTGAGTGCCCCTCCGGGGCCTGCAAAGCTTCCACCATTTAGTGTGCCAAACCCAAAGTGTTTTACAAGATGTATCGGTGGTTATTATAACCAGTTACTTGAACACAAGTAGATTTATGAGTCTGGGATCCAGTTCTGATTGGGTCAGTGTGGGCTCTGTGAAAAGTGTGATTTGGGGGTCCCACAGGAAAAAAATTCAGTCTCAAGTTTTTAGGTCCTATGTTCGCCCAGTCTTTATTAGGCTTCCTAACGGCCTCGGTTCCGGGGGCCTCTTCCTCACCCACCTCCTGAGCATCAATAAGGAACAAAATGTGAGAAATAAGATGCAAAGGCCCCTCAAAACTTCAACCTGAGGTGATCCAGCTCACTTAGCCGCCTCGTGTTCAGACGCCCTTGAGAGCAGGGGCAGTGACCCATGTGCCTTCCCTGGAGGCCTTCAGATAATTGGCTGTGGGAGTCAGACCTGGAGGCGCCTGGGCATGGACTCATTCACCCTCTCCTCTCACAGAGAGGTCTCAAGAGGGAAAATAATTTGCACATATGAAGGGATCGAAAGAGAACTTGGGGCCCCCATCAGGAGAGAGGGACTGAGTCTGAATATCGTTGGTATGCTCACTGCAGTTCTGCTTCTCTGGAAAGTTCTGTAGACAGAGGGCGGCCTATCTCAGGAGCCCACCAGGTTCTAATCCTGCAGCAAAGGGCTTCGGACAGGAAGTGGGCAGGAACAAGTTCATCTCTGAAGAATCCTACTCCGGAAGTTTCCAGTGTCACGGAAATGGATGACCTGTGATCTTTAAAACAACAGAGTTTGAGATTGTGAGATTTGATACTTTTAAAGCCAAGAAAAAGCTCCATGAATGCTCACATTTTGATTCATTTCTACCCAGGCATGCATCTTCCTCATTAGTGTATGAGAGTATGCAATGCCCCTCAAAAAAATTCATGTCCGTTAAAATGTAAATAAAAGGTAGTGCAAAAAAGGGGAGCAGACAGAGAGAGGCAGCTGCCTTTGACTCTCATCCCACTCTATCGGAAAGCTATGACAGCAACCCAAAATGGCTGATAACCACGGTCCAGTTTAGCAATTGGCAACTTTTAAAGTCTTTCATAATGAACATTGGGAAAAGGAAAAATTTGCTATTTGAAGTGTGATCCCAATTCCCGCGGCCATCACTGGAGAGCTGGTTAGAAGGCAGTGTCCGTGGCCTGATCCCATGGAGTCAGAACTTGCACTTGAACAAGATCCCCAGGCTATTGGGTGCAGATTAAAGCATGAGAAACAGCTAAAGAGGTGCAATGCTGACTTTAAATTATTCAAAAAAGTATATGTACGTGGTCACAGATTGGAAGGTGATTTGGAAAAATTAACGTAGTTTGAAGGGAGATGTTCCCTCCCACCCATACAAAGTGCCTGCCCCACTGTAGGGAGGTCAAGGGCAGCTGTGAGGGAGCTGACACTGTCCTGGGCTTTGCTTTATCGTTCTTTAGAACGTGTTCCTTAATGTTCTTGCTCAGTCACCGTTTGGAAACCTAAAGGACAGTGAGGATATTGATGTGCCGTGCTGTTTTCCAGGCATACATTAAAACTAGCTTTCTTTCTGCCTCAGCTATCAGGAAGCATGGGAGTAAATGTAATATCAGTACAGCAATTCTATTTGCCTAGCTTCCTGGGATATTTGTTTTCCTCTTACGTTTTCTATTTTATTAGGTTTTTCTAGGAAATGTCTTACAAATCACTTCCAGTTTCTTAACGTCAGAGCCCACATTACAGTCATGACTTCTGAAAGGCGTTCTTGTCCACCACGCTCCACAGACAGATGTTATGAAACTGTCTTGTGAATTCTCTCCCTGCTCTTTTTCCACTTCTCAAGACAAAAGCAAAACTAAAAGGCTGCCGTTTAACCCTCAGTGAAGGGCTCAGATACCAGCCAAGTCCTACCTGGGTGGTCCCCAGGCCACCTCGCAGCCCCCACAGCCCAGCCCCATGAGTCATTCCGGCTGAGGATTCAATGAAGAGGCAGAAGCCACAGCCCATCCGAGGCAGGCAGACCACCTTCCTGTGGAGTACTCACCGCCCTTCAGCTGCTTCAGACTTCCTCTGCAAGGAGAAAGAGAACACAGTGCTTGCTTACAACCAAGCCTTGTTTTCGGGATAATTCCCCATCAAATTCCTCATTCATTCTCAAGAAAGCTTTGCATTTCTGTTCATAACATTTACCAGTTTATAATTCCATATTGCTAGATGGTCTCCAGCATCAGGCCTTAGGTCCAAGTTAGACTTCTCCCCTCACCACTGCACCCCCAGGAGTCTGCACAACTGAGCACAGGAGCCCTTAATTGGTTGGGCAAATGGATGATGTGAAACGTGGGGTTACCAGAAAGAAGGGGGAAGAGAACTAATGTTGATTAATCGGCTATAATATGCAGGCAGTGTTAGTGTTTTATATGCACTATCTAAACAGCACAATCCTTTAAACATAAATTTTACTCATTTAAAGTGTACAACTTGGTGGTTTTAAGGATATTCACTAGGTTGTGCAACCATCACTGCTATCTAATTCTAGAATGTTCTCATCCAAGAAACTCTGTGCCCATTAGCTATCACTCCCAACTTCTCCCTCTTCCTAACCCTAGGCAACTACTAAAATCTACTTTCTGCCTCTATGGGTTTACCTGTTCTGAACATTTTTTTATAAATGGGGTCATGCAATATATGGTCTTTTGTGTCTGGCTTCTTTCTCTTAATATAATTAGATAGATAGATAGATAGATAGATAGATAGATAGATAGATAGATACATTTCAGAGAGAAAGGGAGAGATAGAAACATCAGTGATGAGAGAGAATCATTGATCAGCTGCCTCCTGCACACCCACACTGGGGATCAAGCCCACAACCCTGGCACAGGCCCTGACCAAGAATTGAACCGTGACCTCTTGGTTCCTAGGTTGACGCTCAACCACTGAACCACATCAGTGAGGTTAATGTTACTTTTTCAAGATTCACATGGTAGCAGTTTTCAGTATTTCGTTCCTTTTTGTGACTGAATAATATTTCATTGTGTGGATATATACATATTGTTCACCATTCATCAGTTAATGCACATTTGGATTGTTTCCACTTTTTCACTATTATGGACATTCATGCACAAGTTTTTATGTGAACATATGTTTTCAGTTTTCTTGCATATACACCTAGGAGTGGAATTGCTGTGTCACATGGTAACTGTGTTTAACTGTTTGAGGAACTCCCATTCTGTTTCCACAGCAACTGCACAATTTCACATTCTCACCAGCAGTGTACGAGGGCTCCAAGGTCTCACATGCTCACCAATACTTGTTCATCTTTTCGATTGTAGCCATCTGGTAGGTGTGAAATGCTATCTCATTGTGGTTTTGAATTGCATTTTCCTACTGACTAATGATGTTGAGTATCTCCATGTGCTTATGGCCATTTGTATATCTTCTTTGGAGAAATGTCTATTCAAATCCTTTGCCATTTTAAAAATTGGGTTATTTGACCGTAGCTGGTTTTGCTCAGTGGATAGAGCATCATCCTGCGGGCTGAAGGTCCTGGGTTTGATTCCAGTCAAGTTGCGGCCTTGATCCCCAGTAGGTGGCATGCAGGAGGCAGTCAATCAATGATTCTTTCTCATCATTGATGTTTCTAACTCTCCCTCTTCCTTCTTCTCTGAAATCAATAAAAATCTATTTTAAAAAAATAAAAATTGGGTTATTTGTATTCTTATGGTTGAGTTGTAAGAGTTCTTAACATATTCTGGATACTGGAATTATAATTTATGATTTGCAAATATTTTCCCCCAATATATGAGTTGTCTTCATTATCTTAATGGTGTCCTTTAAAGCCCAAAAGTTTTCAATTTTGATAAAATCCAATTTGTCTGTTGGGGGTGGGGGTGGTTTGGTGGCTTGTGTATTAGGTGTCATATCTAAAAAACCACTGCCTAATCCAAGGTCATGAAGATTGACACCTATATTTTCTTCTAAGAGTTTTATATCTTGCAAGTAGATCTTTGATCCATTTCGAATTAATTTTTATATATGATGTAAGGTGGATGGTCCAACTTAATTTTTGTTTTGTTTTGCATGTAGATATCTGGTTGTTCCAGCACCATTTCTTGAAAGACTGTTATTTCCCCCATTTAATGGTGTTGGCATCCTTGTTGAAAATCAGTCAGCCCTAGATGTTTGGGCTTATTTCTGGTCTCTCAGTTTGATTATTCCATTGGTCTGTATGTCTGTTCTTAGGCAGGTGGCACACCATCTTGATTACTGTCGCTTCTTTAGTAAGTGGTGAGATCAAGATATGTCATCCTCTGACTTCGTTCTTGAAGGTGGTTTTGGCTATTCTTGGTCTCGCATTTCCACATGAATTTAAGATCAGCTTGTCAATTTCTGCAAAAAGCCACCTGGGATTTGTATAGCGATCACATCTAATCTGTAGATTAGTTTGGGTAATATTGCCAGCTTAACAATATTAAGTCTTCTGATCCATGAACATGGATGTTTTCATTTATTTAGGCCTTTTTTTCAACAATGTTTAAAATTTTTCATGTATATACTTTGCACTTCTTTTGTTAAATTTTCCTATTTTATTTTTTATGCTATTGTAAGTGATATTTTTCTTAATTTCATTTTCATATTGTTTATTTTGAGTGTATACAAATCCAATAGATTTTTGTACATTGCTCTTATATCCTGCAACCTTGCTGAAGTTGCGTATTAGCTTTAATAGTTTTTTAGTGGATTATTTAGGATTTTCTATATACAAAATCATGTCATCTGTTAAAAAGTTATTTTTACTTCTTCCTCTCCAAATTCAAGTTCTCTTATTTCTTTTTCTTGACTAATTGCACTGGTTGTAAACTCCAGTACAATCTTCAATGAAGTCACAAGAGCAGATATTTTTATCTTGCTCCTGAGCACAATCTTTTGAAGTAGGTTACTTAACCCCATGGAAATGAGGCTCAGATGAGGAAATTGAGACTCAGAGAAGTTAAGTAACCTTTACAAAGTCACACAGCTCGTTAACAATGGGGCCAAAGCTTTAAACCCAGGTCTGACTCTAAAGCCCATTCTCATTTACTTTGCTTCCATAACCTCTAAAGAGTAGATTAGCAACTATATATGGTGCAGGTCTTCCTTTCTGCTGTCATTGTTTCATTTATGCCGCACAACAATGGAGGTAGCAGAGCAGGGGTTCATGACCCCCTTTGTCCTGGAAAGGACACTGGTAATGTGGCTCAGAAGAACTGGGATTCAGACTGCTCTCCTGGCCCAATGCTGTGCTTTGTCAGCAGCAATAACGACTTCGTTGAGTAGTTAAGAAAGCACTTTAAAGAGGACTTCTGTGAATAAAATTTCTTTCTAGTTCAAAGAATTTCTTCTGAGAAAAGAATACAAATGAGCCCTGGTTGATGTGGCTCCATTGCTTGAGCATCGTCCCATGCACCGAAGGGTCGCCAGTTTGATTCCTGGTCAGGGCACATGCCCAGGTTTCGGATTCATCCCCAGTAGGGTGGGTATGGATGGAAACAGATCAGTGTTTCTCTCCTTCTCCCTTCCTTTCTCTCTCAAAACCAGTCAAAAACATTTTCAAGAAAGAACACAAATGAGTGATATAAAAATGCTCTGTGCCTGTGTCCAGACAGATGGCCCTTGAAGCTGAGACCTAGGCAGCCTGCCTCCAGCTCCTGCTGAGGCCTCCCTGGAAGAACCCTCGATGCAGAAAGCTGTGTAGATTGCTGGGATCCCCACCTCCAACCTTTCCTTGCAGGGTTGCTGTGAAGATTAAATAAAATGGCCCCTAAGAACCTTGCATCACTCCTGCACACAGAGGAGGCTCAGTAAATACTGCTTCCATTTCCCTTTCCTTTACAGGGCCTGCAAGGGACCCAGGCCCTCAGCATCCCCAGGACCCATTCTCTCCCCCTTGGTCCAGCTCTTTCTAGTAATTTGGTTTCCAATCATTTCCCTCTAGAGAAGTGCTGAGCCAGAGAAGACCCGAGTTCTGTGCCCCTCTTTGCTTCCTCCTCTCTGAACTTCCAGGTGGTCTCCCTGGAGGGCTTCAGGCCTCCACCTGGGAAGGGTCTTTGGTCACCGGGGAAGGGAGTTTGCCTGCATCTTCTAGTTCAGGTCAGTGGGCGATGTGAGGACGGCTACGGGGAACGAGGCCAGAGCTAGGACAGGCCGGATAGTGGCCACCTGCTGGGAGTAGGCGCTTCAGGCCCACGGGGTGTGAGACAGCCTTGCCCCGTGACAAGGCGGTGAAGCGCATGTGCTGGAAGTTAGCCCCTCCAGACAGTGGAAGGGCTTAATGAGAGGCGCCCGGGAGGAAGGGAGGCCAGTGGGAGGCAGTCCGGAGGCTTCCCGGATGTCTGCCCGGCCTCCAGTGTCGCTTCAACTGTCTTCTGTGACTGAGGGGTAGGATGCGGATGAGAGGACACAAACAGGATGGGCATATGGAGAACCCCCAGGCTACCTGGAGAGCTTGGGCTCCCCCATCTGCAGTCCAGGGCTGCTTTCTAGGGGAGGCAGGCCTGGCTCCCAACTGGATCAGGACTCCCTGAGAAAGCAGGGGGCACCCTTTTACATGGACAGCCTCTGCCCCACAGCACTGCCCGGATTGCAACCCTCTGCATTTTATTTGCCTGCGACAAGGGCTGTGTCCCCATCTCTGGGCCAGGGCCCAGCCCAGGTGACTGGCTGGGAGGAAGCCCCGCCTCCCTGGGGAGCGTTACCTTGTCCATCGGCCGTGTAGTCGTCGGGGAGCAGCTTGTCCTGCCGGTAGCCCAGCACGAAGGCCAGGAAGGACAGGATAAGGGCATCTCCGATGCTGAGGATGGCCAGCATGAAGGCCCAGCGGATGGTGCAGTGGCCCAGCGTGTACTTGCCCGTCTGCTCCCCGCACATGCGCCGCACCTCACTGGAGTCCCAGCCATCGGGGTAGACCAGGCAGCCAATCATCAGGCCTGTGGCTGAAGGGGCAGAGGGCGGCTGTGTGGGTTGGGTGTGCTCAGCCCGCACCAGCCTCGCACTGCTGTTATCTTGCCACCTCCCTTTTCCTTGTGCTAACAGCCATGAGAGGCACACGGGCAGCTCCTGCCACCTTTGTAGGACACCGGGCAGCTACCGGGAGCAGCAGGGAGCGGCTCCAAGCCCAGGGCGGGTTCTGCACAGGACAAGGGGTCCCACCAGGCTCAGCTGGCTCACCCGGCCTCCAAAATCTGGTCCGGGCCCAGAGAACTCATCACTCCTAAGACGTACCTTTGTTCACATTTCAACATCTCTGAAACCCGTGGTGAGAAAGGTCAGGCCATCACTTATGACAGCGGTTCTCAACCTGTGGGTCGCGACCCCTTTGGGGGTCAAACGACCTTTTCACAGGGGTCACCTAAGACCATCAGAAAACACATATATAATTACATATTGTTTTTGTGATTAATCACTATGCTTTAATTATGTTGAATTTGTAACAATGAAAATACATCCTGCATATCAGATATTTACATTACAATTCATAACAGTAGCAAAATTACAGTTATGAAGCAGCAACGAAAATAATTTTATGGTTGGGGTCACCGCAACATGAGAAACTGTATTAAAGGGTCGCGGCATTAGGAAGGTTGAGAACCACTGACTTATGAGAAGTGTTTTCCTTTTACAGCAGGAAGGGTAGTGGTGTGTCCTTCAGCCCAGGGATCTTAGATTCACTGAATACAGAAGCCCAGCCCGGCTCTGCCTGCTTCCTCATGAACCTTCTGTTCAAGCATCAGGCGTCCTCCCCTCCAGGGCAGCACCGTGCAGCTGCCCACACTTCCTGAATTTGAGAATCCCCTGGCATATTCGTTTAAAGTGCTGGTTCCAGATCAGGGTGGGCTCGGGACGCCTGCTTTGAAAGCTCTCCTCCGGGTGGGTGGCTGTCTCACTAGGAACAGCTCACTGCCAGCCCAGCTCTGGGCTAACCAGCCGTGTGACTCCAGCGAGCTACTTACGCTTTTTGCCTCAGTTTCCTTGTTTGTAAAGTGGGGGTGATAACAATACCCAGCTGTTTGCCTTGCAGGGAGAGTCCAGTGAGTCAGGACTGGAAGGTGCTCAGCACAGGGCCGCACATACTTGGCACCGAGAGTTCTACTGTTGCCCATCTGTGACAGTGTCCACAGCCCGAGCCCACTCCCCGCCTGCCCCCGCTTCTGCCGTGCCTCCCCACGCTGCACAGACAGGTGACACAATCCTGGGATGTGACTGGGGTGACCCCGAGCACAGCCGCCAGGCCGGCCAGGGGGCCCTTTCCGACCCGGGCCCCTCTCCACAGGCCCCTCTCTGGTCTCAAGGCTGCGCCTACCCGGGCGCCCCTCACAAAGTGCCTCACAGGACCCAGCGTCACCTAAGGTGGCTCATCTAGCTCCGCGAGGGAGGCCAGCGGGTCAAACGAGTGCACAGGGACGTGCGCGATCAGGGTCCACCTCCCCACAAGTCCATCGCCTGCCTTTGATTTGTTTACAAGAGGAAGTCATATATGTACTTCTTTTCTAGATCACAAAATACTTCATCTTGCATGTTTCTCTTGACCTGAAAATAGTTCTGTGAAGAAGGCCATGTAGTAATGTCCCATTTGTAAGGTTGGAAAACAGGTCTCAGAGAAGCCAGTGCCTTCTCATGGCTCCTGACTCTCTCGACTTCAACGTTCATTCCCTCTACTCCCAGGTTGTGACATCTCCGAAGAGCTGCATGTGTTTGGCGGTGACATTTCAGACTTAGCGACAAACTGAGAAGTGTTTGAGGAAGATATTTAGGGTTGGGGACCCTCCCAGAGCTCTTTGGTAAAACCTGTGCGCTCCCCCTGTTGGTATGAGATCAGCCTGGTATGTGCATTTCTAGGCCAGAGCATTTAACAGCTTGGGGGAGACCTTCCGGAGCCCCCTCTCCTCCAGTGACAGGTGATGCTCGATCAGCCTGGGTTCCAGAGAGCACAGTGAGGGCAGAGCCCCCACCCGACCCTCAGTGAGCGAGAACCATGTTTTGCATGCATTGCATCATCCCCTCCTTGTAAGAGCGGTGCAGAGGGTTCTGTTGCTACATCATACAGATGAGGTTACCAAGATTCACAGAGACAAGCAGTTGGCCCTGCTGCGTTGCTAGAGCTGGGATCACACAGCCTACACCTGGCATCCAGAGCTCTAACGTTGTGAAGGTTTCCCTTCTCCTGCTCCCTTCCTTGGACCCAGGCATCTTGGCAAGGTCAAGCTAACCAGTCAAGGCCTCATCAAATAGATGCATCTCCCAGCTGCTGGCTGTGGGACACCACCCCCCGCCTCCCCACCCCCCATCTCTCCCTTGGCTCATCTTCCCTTCCCCAGCACTGAGGGAGGGAACATGACACCACCTTTACTCTCCCCCAGCATAAATGTTTCAGGGGACAGCACCCGGCCACTGCCAACAGTGTCTCCAGTTCCATGACCCAGAGTCTGGCTCAGATGGCCCAATAGCCCCTCCCCCACCCAGGCCCTCCCAGCAGGGCCTGTTCAGCAAGTGATACCTGTTGCGGGAGGCTGGGGGAGGGGCAGTGCAGAGAATGAGAGGGGTGCTTGTGTCTCTGGCACCCCATAACTCTAACATGCAAGGCCAGTTGGCAAGCATGTCAAGGTCCATTCTACTCCTCTTTGTCACAAAACTGCTAAACCTTCATTCTCCCTTCTTCCTCCCCACTGCCCACCGAGGCTTGCTTCACCACCGCCCCAGCCTTTCCCTCATCTTATAGAGAGACTACAGAGGAAAGGGAGATGGGGGGGTGGGGGGATGGGGGGAGGCGCAGGGTGGGAGGCAGCTCTGAAGCCTGCTGAAAGGCCTGGGTACAAGATCTGAAGCCAAAGGCTCTGTCCCTCACCACCTGTGTGTGCTCAAAGGCAAGTTACCCGCAGGGGCCTTGTCTGTAAAACGGAAGGAATACCCTCCTCATTGCGTCGTGATGAGGGTCCTCGAATGCTACACGCGAGGGCACTCTGCAAACCATCGTACTGCGTAAACATGCGGCTCTGCCTTAGTTCTCCTAAGCTCTCGGTGGCCAGCCGACCTGCTACAGCTTGGCCAAGTCTTATCATCTCTCTCAGCCCTGACTCCTCATCTATCGTTGGGGGGCAGAGGGCTGCAGCTCTCTGGGGTCCACTCCAACCCTGACAGGCTTGTTTAGTTGTCTGGGATTCTGACTCCTGTTTCATTCCCTCTGTTAAGGGTAACACTACTGCTCATTCTAGCCAACCATGTCAAAGCAGTTTCATTCTGTCCACAGTCCCCAGCTGTCCTGGACATCTCCCCAGTACAGACAGGCTGAGTGAAGTCCTGGGGGTGGGGAGGGACCAAGGGCTGCGGACAATGTCTTAGGCCATCTTTTCTTGAGCTCTGGGTGAGAGTAGGACCCGCTGGCCCACTGAGTCCTGCCGGAGCTAGGAGCAGGGAAAGGGGGCTTGGAAGGTCTTGCCTCTGAGCACCAATAGTAACCACCTGCCCTACATAGTCTTAAAGCCCCTACACAGCACCCCTCCACATCACACACTGTCACTTCCGCTTACTACCTCAAGCATGGAATCCTATAATTAGGGAACAGAGACTTCCACTCCACAATGAAAGAGAGAACTTAAATGCAAGTCTCTACGGGAAAGGTCACATGCACATAACATTTTAAATCCATGGCTGGCCTTCGAGTCTCCCCTGAGAGCAGTTTGGGGTGGGAGGGAAGGAGTGAGGGCAGGGACCTGGGGATCCTTAGAGGAGACGGAACAAATACTCAGAAGTGGGTGATGTGGGCCTCTAGAATGGGCTTGACTGGCGTCACTCTCTGCCTTGCGTTGGGTTGCATTCCCACATGGCTGACAATGGAAGCTTCCTTTTTCCTCCCTCCCAGAGCAGCAGCAGTCTCTGGTGTAATGGCCTGGGAGTCAGGACACCTGATTTCTCCTACCAACCAGCTCTGTGCTCCTGGGCAAGTCACTTGCCTTCTCTGGGCCTCAGTTCCTCGTCTGCAAGACAAGGTTGAACAATCTGGTCTCCGAGGTCCTCTCCATTCCAGCCAAGCCGCTACTTCTCAGAAGCTTCTATAGAGCATCGAGTAGGGCTGGGCTGAAGGAGGCGAGCCGAGTAGGGGACCGAGAGCCTCCACAGAGGATGGGATGGTGCAGCTGCACCTGTGGCCTGGGGTGGCCCCTGCCCGCCCGCCCAGGAGCCCCGCTCACCCGCAGCCAGCTGCATCCATGCGCAGATCTTGTAGACTGTGGCAGTGTTGCAGACGAAGAACAGGCTGAAGCAGATGATGGAGCCAATGATGAGGAACATGGCCAAGGCCACGAAGAACATGGCAGTCTTGAAGGCTCTGGAGGGGATGGAGGAGAAGTCCAGAGGGCCGCCCTTGCAGATGAGCTCGGAGGACAGCACGTTGCCCACGCAGTAGGAGAAGAGGCCGAAGTAGCCCGCCTGCGGGGTGTTGACGCTGTCCCCGATCCAGTAGGGCTGGATGAAGAGGGCCATGACCAGCACGGAGAAGCAGATGGTCAGCGTGCCCCACATCACGCCAATCGCCCTGGCGTTGCGCACGTAGTTGGTGTGGTAGATCTTGGCCGCCTCCTGGGCGGGGAGCAGCTTCACCATGGCGAGGGCGCGGGCCCGGGCGGGGGCCGGGGCTGGGAGTCGGGGTCCGCGGAGGGAGGCCCAGAGCGGGCCACTCCTCAGCCGGGTTTGGGGAGAAGGCTGAGGTCAGGGCTCGAGGTCAGGGCTCCTCCAGCGGGGAGGAGCGGGTTAATCGGACCAGGAGGACAACCGTGCGCCTTCCGGAGCTCGTCCAGGTGCCGGGGTCCGCTTCAGCCGGCGGCCTCGGGCCTCCTGCCTCCTCCCACGCCCGCGGGGGCCTCGGGCCGCCGGCGCCGCCCTGCCCCTCCCGGTTTTCTGCTCGGGGCTCCGGGGACTCCGCCCCTTGGCCCGGCCCTCCTCCCCCTCGGACAGCTCCGCTTCAGCACCGCGGACAGCGCCCGGGACCCGGGAGGCGGGGCCCGGAGGGCGGGTGGGGCCGCGCCGCCCAGGGAAGCGCGGGAGCCGCCGACCCGCTCGCCTGGGAGGGAACCGCGGCCCTTCGTGACTCTTCAGCGCGAGGACGAGCACTGGGAGGGGGCCTGCGGCTGCCACTTTCCTCCCGCTCAGTTCCTGCCGCAAAAGCGCTTCCTGAGCGCGGCCCCTCCCACCCTCCGGGCGCCCGGGTCGCCTCCCCGACCCTGCACTCCCCGAGGCCAGCGGAGCCTGCTCTGATGTGATCTTCGGTCACCGGTTTCTAGTTCCCGTGGCTCCACCAGCAGTTACTAAGCCCTATGTTGGAGGGCATCTTCCCCGAGCAAGAACCACAGAAATAAAAGGGCAGGGCCCTGCCCTCAAAAACAGTGAGATATTTACATATATGCATGGTATTTACATGTTATTTATAAACAATGTATTTTGTAATTATTTATGAATACATTATGTGTAATGTATAAAAAACATCGATGAGAGAGAAGCATCATCTATCGGCTGCCTCCTGCACGAGCCCGCAACGGGGAATCGAACCATGACCTCTTGGTTCATGGATGGGTGCTCAACCACTGAGCACACGGGCTGGGCTCTCACTGATGTTCCCCTCTCTCTCTCCCTCTTCCTTCCCCTCTCTGAAATCAATAAAAACATTTTTTTTTTTATCCCTAGCTGGTTTGGCTCAGTGGATAGAGCATTGCTGTGGACTGAAGGGTCCGGGGTTCAATTCCGGTCAAGGGCACATGCCTGGGTTGTGGGCTTGATCCCCAGTAGGGGGTGTGCAGGAGGCAGACGATCAATGATTCTCTGTCATCACTGATGTTTCTCTCTCTCTCTCCCTTCTTCTCTGAAATCAATAAAAATATATCAAAAAAAAAAAAAAAAAAAGATGGGCTTTGGCCCGTGCTGGTGTGGATCAGTGATTGAAGCGTTGTCCAGTGCCCCAAAGGGTGGTCGGTTTGACTCTCCATCAGGGCACATACATACCTGAGTTGTGAGCTCTTTCTCTCTCAAATCAATAAAAAATATTTTAAAAAATCAATGAAATATTCTCAAATGAGGATTTTTTTTTTTATTGGACTTTTGGCTTTTAGACAGCCTGGATTTGAATCAGCACTTAGCTCAGGGACCATCTGTGAGCCTCAGTTTTGTCGTATATAACCTGGGGTGATAATAGTTCCTGTCATATAAATGTCAGGTAAAATAATATGTGTAAACTGCTTAGCCCAGGGCCTCACATACAAAGTGCTCAAAAATGTTTTTATTACTATTTGTATATTATTATCATTACCTCTGTTAACATTTCGGTGTATTTCCCTCCTTCTGCACATATTGCATTACATTGGGTGATAATGTATGTACAATTTAGTATCCAATTTTTTCACTTTGCATTACACCATTAATATTTTCTCATATTACTATTTTTCAAAAGCAGTATTTTAATGCCTGTGTAGTAATTGTGTAATCATTTCCCCTTTGGGGGTGTTTTGGCAGTTTCTGGTTAAAGTTCACCCCACCACACTGGCTCAGGCTCCTAACAAGGCGTCCATCGGGGCAGACGGAGACAGTGAACAGATCTGCCCCCAGGCAGACGCAGCAGTCGCTATGACTCCCAACAATCTCAGCAAACTTTGAGCCCCTGGTGCGGCATCTATTTCTCTCAAAACTCAATCATAAGAAAACAAACAAGCCAATTAAAGATTGGCTGGCAAAAGACTGACAAACACTTCCGCAGGGAAGATATATGGGTGGCAGTTAACACATGAGGAAATGCTGGCCGTCATTCGTTGGCAGGGAAATGCACATGGAACCACAGTGACCTGGCACTGCACGCCCAGCAGACAGGCAGTTAAACAAATCGCCTGGCGATGCTGAGTCCTGCTGATGGGGACCCACGCTGGGTCAGCCACTTTGGAAAGCGGGTTGACATCTCTTAGAAACTGAAGCCAACGTTTGCCACGAGACTGGGCCATCTCCTTCGTGGGTATTCGTCCCAGAGAAGTGAAAACGTGTGTTCACACGAAGACCTGTGCATGAATGTGTAGCATCTTTGCTCATAACTGTCCCAAACTTTTCAGAAATAGCCCAAATGTCCCTCAGCGGGGATGGATAGGCTGCTGCGGTGCCACTGTGACCACGGGTCCGGCAGCGTAACGTAAGGATCTACGGACCCTGGCACGGCGTGCGCAGATCTCCGACGCCTGTGCTCAGTACAAGGAGCCAGACCCCCAACAGTATGTGTGCGCTCAGCATATCACATTACGGGAAGGGCAGACCGGGAGGGAAATAAAACAGGTTGGTAGGTGCCAGGACCTGGTGGCAGGGTTGGCTACCAAGGGGCAGTACCAGGGAGTGTTTTGGGGTATGGAAGTGCTCTGTCTATTGGATGTGGTGGTAGTTACATGGTGTCTGCATTTGTTAAAACTCAGAGAACTGTAACTACAAAGGGCGAGTTTTACTGTGTCAGTTATACTTTAATTTTTAAGGGGGGGGGGGCAGGGACTAACATTGGTAGGGTGCCCAGAGGAGAAGGGTGCTGCACACGAGGGAGAGGAGTGTGTGTTGAACTCATAACGCCTGGCCTGCCTCCTGTTACTGCCAAGTCCAGTGTAAAAGTTAATGGAAGAAACGTTAATGAAGACTTTGTCACCCAACACAGGGCAGGCCCACCAAGAGCCCAGTGTCTCAGGAACAGAAGGTCTGGGTCCTACGGACCCTGGTCAGCAGAGAGCAGGCTGAGAGCAGGCACGTGGGGTGGGGGTGGAGGATGAAAGTCTAAGAACTACCCGCAGGCAGTAGCATCTGCAGAAGGGACTCTAGCATCACCCGCTTTCCTTCTTGCTGTCTCATGCATGTGGAGGGTGTCCCCCAAAATGTTTACACACTTTGAATGAGTAAAAAGCCAGTGTTCATTCACATACAGTTCACTTTCAAAATTTAAAAGAATCTACAGAAATGAATAATTTTCTTTGTCAAATCCTGTTTTCAAACTGATGACCGTCCTGGTCGAGGCCCTGCTGATAACACGAGGCAATGGAATCGCAAACATCAAGAATCATTTCGTTCCGTGTTTGTGAGCCCTCAGCTGTTGCCAGTTTGTAGTGTGAACTTTATCTTTTCTGTATCCCCATAAAAAGGGCTAGTGGATAAATGTTCTCTGTTCAAAGCTTAGTCTGGCTTCACCCATTATTTCAAATCAGTTAAACCTGAAAAGGAGTGAAAATGGAGTGAGTTATCAGCTGTTAAAGTGTGTACACATTTTTAGGGACACCCTGTACTTATATATCTTATAACTCTCTTCTTTCTTGGTGGCGGCTAACTTTACACTTCAGCCTCTAAGTTACAGAATACGGAGATGTGGTCGTGACCAAGCTAAAAGAGGGTGACCTCACAAAGACATCCTGGACAGCCCTGGGCAGCGACTGGGGAGAGCTGGGCCAGGCACGCACGTTGGTCTTACAGAGGACAGTGCGGTGTGTGTGAGGGCAACACCGACAGGGAGTGGGCCTTTGAACGTGGAAAGCGGGTCCATGAGGCTTTTCACCAGCTGATGGGAGGGACCCACAGAGAACAGAGCCACAACTTCAGGGGCCAGAGGGTGAGGTAGAACAAGGGACATGGTCACAGCAGCCACAGAAGACCGTCCAGGCCCCTCCCTGCTCCCTCCACTCCATCCAGGCCTGGTCAGGAGAGCGGGTGGAGAAGACCCCTACAGGCTGGGCCTCACTGCCGCCCTCACTAAACAAGACGGGGCTAGATAATCAGAGGAAACGAGAAGTTACAATTCTGGTGCAGCCCAGCTGTCATTTGAGCTACTTCGTGGGGAAGGAAGGTTGTCTGTGGGCTGGGCAGCCTGCAGTGGGTGGAGGAGGCATTTATTGTTTGCCCGGATTCCCTCCCTTTTCTTGGTAACAGAACCCCACTCTGGAGAGCTGCCCCTCCCCGTGTGGCTCCGGGGCTGCCCACCTCAGGGCTCTGCCCAGGACCCACCACAGGGAGGGGTTTGGAGGACACAAGCTGGGCCAGCCTGGGTCTCTTGGTGGGGAACCTGAATCTTGAGGGGATCCCTGACTCTCCCCGCTCTGACTCCTCGGTTGTCACACATCTGGCCTTGACCCAGAGCCGTGAGCTCTTTCCCAGAGCTGAGATGTCTGTGTTGGTGGCCTCCGCAAAGGGGGTGTGTTATAGGAACACAGGGGAGTTTCAGGCCCCATGGGAAGGGAGGGTGTGTGTGTGTGGCGGAGGCGGGGGGGGGGGGGGGGGAGGGGGGCGGAGAATGCACGCACGCAAGTGTGTAACCAGGACCGGGACCTCCATCAGGAAGTCAGGGCATGGCTGCCACCACCTCTTCCTGAATGGCTAAGCCAAGCATGTCAAATTCAAACGCCAACAAAGGCCAAATAAACAAGGTTGAAGTTTCTGCGACCACAAAAAAACCAAAAGCTTCAATTGTCATAGAAATGTAGGTTTATTTCGATAGAGACATGCTGAATACAAAGGGCTGAAATAAATGAGTCATCATTAACATAAAATAATAGAACAGCCCTAACCAGTTTGGCTCAGTGGATAGAGTGTCGGCCTGTGGACTGAGGGGTCTGA